CGTCGGTCTACACGTGTCGAAGCGTCTCCTCCAAGTTTGGTGGTGGTGGCGATAATTAGAAGGTAAGTGGAGGATGGCGGGACAAGTGGATACTCAAGTGGCCATAGATACTTGTACCTACAGTTCATCTTGACTTTTTCTCAGAAAAGTGGAATGGGTCATTTCAATGAGTGATCGGGGTCAGTCGAAGAGAATTCAGCGGGCTTGGCAAATTTGGAGAATTTCCAAAAAATTTTATTTTTCTCAAAAAAAATTTTTAGTTGAGCATTTCCTTATTTGGAGCTTTTGCGAATGCCTACGGTACAATTTCGTTACATTGATGAATATCCAATTTTTGTAAGCTGACGACATCTTTTTCAGGGACAAATTCTGATGACATCTTTAATATTCTGTATTTCAGCTCGTCGCGTCGCAAGTAAATAAACAATTCCTCATTTTTCTCATTCACTTTTTTTCTTTCTTCTTGATATCCATAATATACAATCGAGGTTTTCTGGAGAGTTTTGACATCAGCGAGGGATTAGGAGGGTAGGGGGATCTTGTGAAAAAAAAAAACGCAAACACAATATCGACAGCTTTTGGCATAATGAGATTATCATCATGTAGTATTTGTTGTTGATGACTGGAATAAAGTTTAGTCGATAGAAGCTTTGCGCGGATTCGGATGACGAAACGGGATTTGTACTGCGCGACATCGAGCAGCTTAAAGAGCTGTAGGATGTCGTCAGAATATATGCATATTTGGTGAAAGCGATACAAATTAATAATTGGGATTCGATCAAGTTCCTTGTCATCAGCAAATCTCGCAATAATTCTTGAAAAACTTGACCAAAACGGGAGGGACGACAAAGAAGCAAAGAAAATCGAAATTTGTTCACGGATTTACGTCAAATAATGAAAATGTCTATTTAGTTTGAGTCAGCTTTATTTTAAAAATATCAAAAAAGTGACTAATCAGCGTTGATTGCCTAATATGGAAACGCGTCAAACGTAGATTAGGGTTAACCTTTTCGAAGAGCGAAGTTAGTCAGCGTTTATTTTTAACACTTTGGCCTTGGGACCACTTGAAGCGAATACCGTAATTGATACCATAACCGGAGACAAATATTTGTGTGTGGAGAGAGAAAAAAAAGCACATTGGCAACAATAATATTCGCTCATAAACAGAAACGACGAGTGGAGAGACACACCGAGTTGATAAATGATTTTATTACATTTGCGCACATAAAACCGCGCGAGACAAAATTAATCGAAAAGTAACCATAAATTGCGAGAGAACGCCGCCAACGATGAGCGCGCAGGCATTCTTCAGTACCTGTAAAAAAAAGATGAATTGGTTTGCGATTCTTATCGCCAAATCGCACATTTTTGATGTTTATTTAGGCTATTTGGTGGCGAGATGAGAGACCGCGGGAGATGGACTAAATGGTGGTTCGCATTCTTCAATCTTTGGGGCATTCGACCACGGAAAATGGAGTATCCCATTGTTTTTTTTTTTTGACAATTTGAAACCACGTTTTGGGTTTTCTTGTCGAAAAAAATATTGTCGGCGTGGCGCGACTGCGGAAAATTGACAAAATTTCAAAAAAACAATGGAAGTGGTCTTGACGTAAAAGTAAGTGTCGATTTACGGCCCCAAGTATTAGAATAAGTTAAAGGAGCGCTTAGTTATTGAGACACTAACATAGCATTTGGTTCATATAGGTTTTTTTTCATGCTGAACACGATTTTCACAGGGGCTCACCGCGCACCGAGACCACTTCTTGATAGAAAAAAAGGTCTCGGTGCGCGGTGTGCGCCTTTAACCTATCTTTATGCAATCGGCATTTTTCTTTGTTTTCACAAGCATTTTGCCAATTTTTTGCGATCGCGCGTTTCTTTTTTCAAATTTGGATTTTTTTTTTCAATTTTTTTTACCTGCACATTAAACTCACAGCGATTAACAAGAAAAAACCCAAATTTAAATTAAAATGGCGTTTCAAAAAATAATTTTCTTTCAAATTGCTATCATTGCTCTATTCAGATTGTTTTTAAAAAAATTTCTGGTTAAAAAACCCTTAAAATACCTCAAAAGGTTGCAGATTGCGGAAAAAACTACTTTTAGCCAAGTTTTTGTGTATTTTTTCCAAAATCTTTATAGTACCATTATATTTTTCATTTAGAGGTTAAGACTACCGTATTCAAAGGCACATGGTGCAAATTTCAAAAATTGTCCAGAAAATTTCAATGTTTGATTCTAAAATTCAATATGTTCTTCAAGAAATTGAAACCTTTGAAAAATTGAAAATTCTTCATTATTTTATTTTCACGTTTATAAATTTTTTAAAAAATTTTTCCCGTATTTTTTTTTCAATTTTTTTCCGTATTTTTCCCAAAAATCGTATGCAAAATTCTTCGCGAATCATATATGTTGAAGATTATAATACATTCGGAATATATATCTATTTTCGTATTCTCTAATCACCGCATATTTATTATTTTGTATGGCGAAAATCCACAAAAACTTGAATAAAAATAACATTTCTACCAGATTATGATTCAAGATTAGAATCGTTTTGTGTACCAAATGCGAGTGATATCATAACATTGGATTGTTTTTGTTCATTCAATGAAGCGTCTTCCAATTAATTAGCTAATTACTAATTAACAATACGGGGATTATGCGTCGACTATTATGTGCAATATGCGTGGGCACTATCACGGCCATTCTCAATCGTCACATCAGAGTTTGGCGATTTCGAAATCACTACGCAATTCTCTAATCTCGAATAATGTGGTTTGATAGATGGATGAAGGCGCTGATGCTGAATTAATCTCACAATATCTCGGTCTATAGTTTTTGTAGTTTAGAGTCTTACGTCAAATTTTGCTCAGCAAATCTTTCGCACAAAAAAAATTGATAATTGTTGATTGTTTTTCAAGAATGATAACAAAGTTCATTCATGCGCGAAATTGAATGCCTAAAATACGAATAATGAAGGCAGGAAAGCCAATAAACAAATTAGTCGTCGACGTTCAGAAAGATCAAGAATTCAGATTCTGGGGATCGCAATTTTTTTAAAATAAATTTGTGAATGAAAAAATATATCTAAGGGGGGTTTTTTTTTTAATTCTCCGTCAACTGAAACCCAAAGTGCGTCTGTGATGTATCCCGAAAACGTCCGCAGATGATTGCAATAAGATGCCTGCATTGAATAGGCGAAATTGTTACCACCACGTTCTATACAATCATATTTAATCATGACTTACGACATTCCTTCGACATTAGAAAATGTATTTTCCCTTTTTTTTCGGGTATATACAAGCAAACGATCAACCGGTCAACAGAGCAAAAACTACGTTCAAGCTAGAAACAAGTGCATGCTTGACGATTATTTTTGTTAAACAAGCAGATGAGCCGTTCGTTAACATTGTGATATGCAACAAAAAATTGATTGCGCAATCATGCCGGTTCTGAGAGTTTGGGGTATAAAAGAGCTGGGAATCACCAAGAAGAATCACACCCGACAATAATGCGATTCTTCTTCGTTCTCTCCGCCCTATTCCTTCTTGCTTCGGTAATTAATTAATTAATTATGATTAGTATTGAATTAAAATATTTAGGCGACGTCTCTTCGCGAAAAGAGATAGTGCGGTTGCTCAGCACAGCCGACGTGCTCCTGCCAGCAATCCACTCGACAGCAGTACACCTGCTCTTGCCAGCAACAGGCTCCGACTTCTTCCTGTTCGTGCTCCCAGCGAACTGTCCAAGTTCAGACTGCACAATGTGTTCCAGCTTGCCAGCAGAGCTGCCCTCAGCAATGCTCCACTCCGCAATGCAGCCAACAGTGCGTCCAACAGTGCCAGACAACGTGCTCTGCGACCCCGGTCATCCAGGCTGAGACTTGCGCTCCAGCTTGTCAGTCAACTTGCGTCGCCCAGCTTCCAGCGGCCAATCAATGCCAGCAATGCCAAACCGGCTGCCAATCCTATCCAACGGTCGCTCCTCAACCCCAGGTGGTCAGCATCGTGCTCCAGCCAACCATCACTCAATCCGCTCAATGCATGCCACAATGCCAGTCGTCCTGCCAACAGCAATGTGTCGCCCAGCAACTGCCAGTTCAACAATGCGATTCATCCTGCCAGACGACTTGCCAACAATCCTGCCAGCCAGTCCAGGTCCCTTGCCAGGAGCCAGTGAGCACTACGACCTGCTCCTGCCAGGCCAACTACTCCCCATGCGGAAACGATCAATGCTGCAGAAGATAGATACAATTTAGACACCCAATTTTGTCTGTAAATAGATGAATAAATCCCGTTCCGTTCATTTGATACTGTCTTCTTTGGTCTCGTCAAATATCAAGCAACTTTCGAAATTCAAACTGTACTCAAATTCAGAAACCAGAAATCTGGGCCTCACCGGAACAAGACTCTTCTTCCCATATTTCAAGTTGTTGTTTTTTTTTGTATATTTTCGATCATCCCAAAATGCAAAAATTACGTTAAATGTGCAATTTTTAAAATTTTTGGCAAAAAAAATTCGTGAATACGTCGCCGTCCGACGGCTACTGTACGCGGGATTCACAGGTATTCATTAAAACAGCTAATTATATATGTATGTATGTATATATGAAATATGCAAAGTGTTTCTTATTTTGTCGAAATTTACATTTCTGAAGCACAATTTTGAAATGCGCTTGTCAAACGTCGTCCTTGAAAATGTCGCATTTATTCCGTCAAAACGTCATTATATAGCACAAAAAATGGGCGAAAATATGAACAACAATTATTGAGATGAGATGCTTTCGGAAGGAAACAAAAATGGGAATGAATGGCAAAATAATGTACAAAGTGAAATGAATCATCATTATACCTAAAAAAAAGTAGAAAAAAAAAATCATATTAATGATAGCAGATAAAAATTAAAATCAATAGGGGAAATGAGCGTGGGAAGGGGGAATGGTTGGGGAAATTGAGGTGCGAAAAAAGGAAATATTAATTAATTACACAATAATGCATAATTAGGCACTAGTCTCCCGATATTGAGTTATACTGGTAGTTCGGTAGGGCACCTGAAACATATTCCAAAATTTTTATTTAAAAAAAAGCAAGGAAATCCTTTTTTGAAGCTAATTTTGAAATTTGAATTTCAAAATTCAACTATACGTCAAAGAAAGGAACAGAACGATTCGACGAGGCTCAAAAATTTTTACGATTTCAGAGAAAAAAATCAAGGATTTACTAAAAAACAGAATTATGGCAATTTTCTTTTAAAAAGAAAAAGAAATTAAAAAATTAATTCTATTTGAAAAAATCAAAATTATTATTTTTTTTTTCAATTCACAGAATAGGTAAATTGCGTGGCCTATGTTTTTATGGCCGAGAATTTCGCGTCCACCTTTCTAAATTTCAAGTTTCAAAAAAATCAATTTATTAAAAATCTGAAATTTGCTGAACCTGTGGGCTTGGTCTGTAGGCAGTTGACGGATATTGTGGGAACTTCTCATCAAGAAGCGGCTCCTCGCGATGATAAGGCAAATTGTGTCTGCAAATTGCGCCCGATATGAGTTGGCTCATCAACCAACAAAGGCTTCAACTACAAAGTGCTCTCTATCTAGCCGAGGCGGGGATGCAAAAGAATAAATAAATGAACTAAAAAAAATAAACGATTGGATAGGGATTTGGTGAAATGGATCAGTTGATCCAAGTGGATCTGCCGTATTGCTGTCGATGTTGCTCCTCATGACGATACGAATATCTGAAATTTCATGCCGACTCGACTAAAATGCACAGCGACAGTGATTGTCACACACATACAACAAATGAATAGAGCAACACCGCAGCACACTCAGCAGCGATAGAGAGCGCTTCGCGGAAGGCAAATGTTGTGAATGGATAGAAAACCAAAAAATGTCAGATAGATAGAATTATTAATATATATTTAGTAAAAGATTAAAAAAATGGAAACGTTACACGCTGAGTGTGGCGGGCTGCGACTGCTGTTGCCAGGTGAACAGGTTTTCTTTGCTGAAGACAAAAAAGACAATAGGGGGCAAAAAATATTGTGCCGGGCGGAGCGCTGAACAAATGGAAAAAGAAACAAAAAAAAAAACAAATTTTTGTCAAAGCGCGCAACTCAGCTCCCGGAACGTATTTGAAAAAAAAAAAAAAAAAAACAGAGGTAGATGCATTATTTTGTGGGGGAAAAATCGCTAACCTTCCGTCGTCTTGGTTTCCTGACACGAATTTGTAGGTGGTCATGAGAGCGCAGATGAAGGCGAGCACCCAGCAAACGGTTCCCATCAAATGCAAATAGAACGCGTAGCCGATTCTTTGCTAAAAAAAATACATAGTCCGGAATATATTTGGGAATTTTGAAAAGTATTTTATCAAAAAAAAAACCTAGAAAGACAATTTCCTAACTAGTGAATTAAATTTACCTCGTAGGTTCCGACCATTCCTTGCACAAATCGATTATCGACTCGGTTGGCTGCCAAGAAGAAAATGCCGTCAGAGAGCAATGAGCAGAGCACTAAATTCTCTATTGATTTCGCGAAAATGAATTCGAAATCATACTGGCAATAAAGAGGGAGATGGAGAAGGCAAAAGCGGTTGGTGTGAAGCATGGCGCACAGACGCCGGCGCAAATTGAGATGAACGCAAGGAATTCTGAAGTAACGATGAAGAAAAGAATTGCCTTGTGCCATGCTGAAAATTCAAATTTTAATTTTATAATAAAATAAGTGGATAGCTACCCCAGAATCGATGGTGTTCCGATTCTCCAGCGGCACCGTCTTCATCAATATTGTTCAAAGTGTTCTGGATGACAAGCTCAGCAGAATTGTCAAACTAAATTCCAATTAATCGAAAATATAATTAAAATTACAAAAAATACCTTGTACATGCAGTGAAGTGGCGTTTCATCGTAGAAATCGCCAACAGCGACAACGTGTTTTTCAGCACGGATGCAATCCCACCAAAGTCCATGCTGAAAACAAAATTCAATTATAATTTTAGATTTTAAATATACAATTTCTATAGAGTTGAATAGACCTTTTTATTTTTTATAGAAAAAAGAAATTTCGAATTAAAAATAGTCATGAACGGACCAATTCGAAAAATTGAATTGCGTGGACAGCAAATAAAAAAATTTTGTTAATAATAACCAAAGCATTTGAAATTTATAAAGAAAACTCGCTTTTAAGAATTTTTGTCTTGTGAAACTCAAAGCGACAATTTCAACGAGAAAACAATCACAGCCAACATTTGCCCGTTATTGAATATTCAAATTCGCGGTTTGAAACAATATGTCAATAGAGCGCATTTGCAACCACCAACCTGATGCTCGGCTCGAAATTCTCGAATATCGACAACCTGCCATGCCGGTGAGAAAGCGCCGCCGATCGTCAAACAAATCCCGATAAATATAAGCACTATCGATAACGCCAATAATCCTTTTTGGGCTAATGTGCTTGACATCGCCTGAAATAATGGTAATCGATTTGGATCGATTCGAATCGACCGGTTCGCACGATCAACAATTCTAATTGGCTGGAATTTCTTGAAGCAAATGAATCGAAATGAATTCGAATTCGAATTGGGTTAAATGAGGCAATTTCGAAGGAGTGAAAGGAAATGAAGTGAAGAACACGAGAATTTCGCATATCACTCAATGATGATCAAATTTGCATATAAAGTAACCTTGTTCGAAGGGAGAGGGTGAATCAGCAAAAATCAATAGATATGTACATAGATTTGGAGGAAATTTGCGATGCGATTTAATGAGAATTGAAACTTTGTGGAGGGAAAACAAGTTTGTCTGAACACCGCTCATCGAAAACTTGTGATTGTTTATTGATTTTTTTCTTTCATTTTCTTGGTTTAGCCGTAAATCGCCAACAGTAAGCTGCAATAAAATCGGCGAAATTCGGAAAAAAATTGAGGACAGATTTGATGGTAATCGGATTTGGTGTCTCGCACAAAAACTGGAGTTGGCATTGGGCCAAAGTCGAAATTGAGGTTGAAACCTTGAAAATCGCGCCGGGTGGACGGCGGTGAGAAGGCGTCGCCTTCGTCGCCGCAGTTGGCGTATGTATATATGCCTCGCGGATTTCACCTTGAAATTTTGCGGCGTTGTGAACTGTTGACAGTTGACAGTTATACCATCACGGCGACGTCGAAATAGTGTGTCATACATGGAGAAGGAACGACGCAATGAATTACAGCTTCGCCAAATTTCGAGGGCGAAAAATCGATTTTGAAAATCGCTCGCGTGGAAATAAGAAAATCAACAAGGATTGCGATTTTTTCAGACCCCAAAAAATTTTATTTAATAAGTTATAATTTAAATTTCAGATTTTTAAATTTTTAAATTGTTTCGATGACTAGATACTTATTGGGGAAAGGATTATTGGAAAAAGCTTAATAACTGCTAAAAAAAAAACTCAAAAATGGGCATTTCAGAGTGAGTGCGCAACAATTGACAGAAATCAAACGATTTGAAAATGAGACGAGGTTTTGAGTGGCTAATTATAGGTGAACTCGGCCGTAAACAGCGCATGTAACAAGCGGTATGAGCCAACACTGGTGTGGGGTGGTGTGGTGTGGGGTGGTGTGCGCGCGAGCATTCACGACAACAACGGAATACGCCGAAAGGGATTTGCATGAGCACGTTGTCAAGGAAACGCAGATTTCGAAATGCTCTTTTGTGGTAAAAATGCGATTCATTCAAGTAAGCGCGCAGGGTTCCAAACGACCTAGAATCAACAAATTTCTTTTTTGATGGATTTGCATTTTTTTCTATATTGCAGAATCATATAAAGATTGTGGGAAAAAAATGAAAAAAAATGTAGAAGTGATATTGAGATTCAAAAATAATAATTTGCTGGAAGCTTTATTTTATTTATAAAGAAATGCAATTTTTTAAATGGTTGAAGTGTGTGCAATTTTGCGTCAGTGTGAAACAGAGATACGTGTCTTCCCAATTTTCGACGTTTTTTTTTACAATGAAATAATTTTTATTATATTTTTTTATCGGCAAATAGATCAAAAATGAAAAATGAGCAAATAATTTTAAATAAGAAGAACAACACCGCAATTGGCTGAGTATATGCGCGTGTGTGTGTGTGTCTTCCGACGACTTCGGATGACCTATTTTGGTAGTTTGGAAGAAAGAAAGATATTATTCAAATTCACGCATTCCGCTCGCCTCCCTCCTGGTGTCCGTCCGTTCAAACAGCCGGCTGGCTGGCGAGCGGGCGGCCGATGCGAATTGGAGAAAAGACAAACGTCGCACTTTCACCGAATTTCGGCGTGCCACACAACAATGTTAATATGGGCGGGGGGGGGGTGGATGGTGAAGGGTGGCGCGGATGGTGTGTTTTCACCGAAACGTTAAGTGGTTTCAAGTAGAACACGACCGATATTTAGGTAGGTCAATTCAATCGGAGGCAAAATTGTCCGCAGCATCGAATTTTCATATGCAAACGCACAAAAAAAAATAGGAAAATGATCAATATTGTCAGATTCATTTCGATTATTATTATTATTCGCGTATGAATGTTGTGCGTGCTAAAACATTTCGAAACCAGGTGCCGCGCGAAATTCTCTGCGTCTCTTCTCATCCGCACACTCTTTCGCCTCTCCCTCGACGATATCATTAATATTATTATAATGTTGTGCTGATGACGCATAGTTTTGCAATGTGATAATCATAAAATTAATAATAACAATAATAATAGTAATAAAACGAGCCACCCGAAAATGGTGTGTTCTCCAACTGGTTCGAAATGTTTGTCGCGACGACACTTGAACACGAACCGACAGTTTTTCAGCGTTAACAAACACACGAAGATTATTTTGGAATCACATTTGGGAAAAAAATGCCCATAAATGTAGGTGTGCGGAAGACCTTGAGAAGAACGAAACGACGATGAATCAGTCGGCAAAAAGCCCAAGACGACGAAACAAAAAAAAATCGACAGCCATCGGGGAAATGAGAGAGGAAGTCGTCGAGGTCATTTCGGCTAGGTTATTGTGCGACTGGTCGCTTCGACAGTTGATAGTTCAAAGACGGTAGGAAAGCTCGAAAGACAACACAATTGGGCCCTCAGATATTCGTTGCGATTTTTCGGCAAAATTTAAATTTTCAAATTTCAGATATTCGTGAAGCTACTGGTTTGATGTTCAAAATAATTTTTTTGAATAATTCGAGGTAAATGGAAAGACACCCGTGCTGGAAATTTAAGCCTTTCAATCTAAAGAAAATGCTTTCGAAAAAAAAAGCAGTGGCCGAGCGGCTGTGGCCGACAATTTCACGGCCATTCGTCAAAAATCGAAAATTTTTTGGATATCCGCAAACGCGTATTTCTGAACATCATAAAATTGTTTGGTAATAAAAAGCATATATTAGTCTCGAGTGAAGAGGCGCGGAATGATAGGTGTGTAACTGACAGCGTCGACGACACGAGATTCGCCGATTCGATAGACGGTAGAGATCAGCCGCGATAAGCAGTTGCCGCCTTATTCACCAATACCTACGATTGAGGCGAAATGACTCATTGGGGACGGACGGGGTCGAAATTCGGGCGGCGATGAGATCGAGTCGAAATTCAAATTCGAAACGCGGGGTCTTTAAAATTTGAAATATTTATGAAGAATGTCGAATTCGAAATTATCAATGATTCCCGTAGTCAAACATTCAATTTTCTGAAGGACGTGATTGGCGTTGAGCTTCCTAGAATTCTAATCGTTTTCGTCTAAACGCATCTCAGCAGCTTTTTCCAATTTCTTATTGTAATAATATGACCAATAGACAATCTGAAATAATTATTTCGATAAAATATGATCAGGATGACATTCGGCATTACATTAAATATAGCGAAGCACGCGGGAAACATGATCGCCGAGATTTTGTCGATTTTATCGGGTGGCCAATTCCAAATATCCTGAAATAGAATTGAGTTGAAGCTTTGTTCGACGTGACTTGCCTGAAGTGTCTTGAAGCGGAAAATGCCGGACCAATTCGGGGTTCGACGATCGACCGGCAGCATAAATCTCTTCTCATATCTACAAAGACCAGCCGGCGAGGACTCAAAGTTATCAACCAGCTGCAAAAATCTATCATATGCGAAATTGAATTTATTCCCCAAAAAACCTTCATATGTGAGCACTTCTTTTTGCCAGACTCCTCATTTTTCGCCTTATACCCAATTATGGCTAATTCTAGAAGCGAGCAAAAGATGAATGTCATTGAAACCAGCATCCATACATCTGAAAATATCTTTAGGCAATCTTTAAATTTTATTTAGTATTGACCTATAGCTTTAATATAAGAAACTCTTGGCAGGTTTCTCATAATATTTCCAAATTGAAAAATCATTGCTAATAAGGCGTTGACACCGAGCATCGTTCTTGCCGGCATCGCCTTGGATCCAAGAGAAAAGGATATCCAACTAAAATCCATATATGGTTTAAGCTATGATATTTAAAAAAAATCGGTGAAAACCTTATAAAAATGGTAAGATAGGTCGGTAGGTAGGCTTGCATGAAATACCATATATAGCGTCTTTCAAATACCAGTTTCACGTGAAGCTCGTCCCACATTCCAGCAGGATAGGGCTGAAAAAGACGCCAAGTTTTTCAATTTCTAAATTTTGAGGATCAAAACCGCCGAAATTCTTGTAGGCCGAATTTTGCTGAGCACAAAATCGGGCAACATGATCTGCGTTGTTGTATAAACCGGTGCTGGATTGAATTCATTCCAGCGCATTCGAACCTCTTGATTGTTATAATTGAAGCTGAAATTATTTGCAATACAAACAGTCAGTTGACAATGATTACCTTTCATAAATCAAATTGCATTCCTGAATGTCTAATGGAAACAGTTCTAAAGACAAACTACATGGTCCTTTGACAGTAACCCTCTGAAACAATTTAATTTATAAAACTTCTGTTTGGGAAAAATTACATAGTTGACCCATACTGTTCCATTGGGATAGAGAAGGAGAAAGACGTTCCTGAAAACATTTTGAGAATCCAACCATAAAAATCCTCAAAAATACTTGAATGGCGAATCGTGAATTTCAGCAAATTTACTATTGATAAAACAACTATTAGGCGTCCATAATCTATCGAGAACCTATAAAACATTTGAAAGAATTAATTTCGAAATTCAATTAAAATGGATGACCTGATGACTTAAAGACAAGTTCTCTTTGCATGGATTGAGGTGCTCAAAGCTCAAAGCCGGGTCCAGCCACATTTCGTTGATATAAATGTCCATCTGCAAAAGAAATTAAGCAACCTTCTTCTTTTTTTTTTATTAGAATTTTTGAAAGTTTAAAGTCCAGACTCAAAAGGGTCTTGAAAATTGGGGTGAATAAGTGCCACATTGGGTGAATGCATAAAATTAAGCATTTTTAAAAGGAAGTCGAACTTTCAGACACATTTCTCATAAAATTGAATTTTAAATTTTTATATTTTTGTAGCGATAACTAAATTTGCATATTTCTTGTTTATGAATCTAAACCTCAAAATCATTGGTGATCTCGTTGATCGATGTAATCGCTTGAATCCAGAACTCGACGTCCACTCGTACTCCATCTTCATCTGTAAAAAACAAAACGAAAGTAGTCGTTCGGTTTTCAATTTCGACAAAACACATTTCTCGTGTCAAAAAGCCCTGTCAGTTAATTCCGCTAAAAGTCTACCCCAGTTTTTTTTCTTCGTCGCCTTTTTTCCATCGCTAGACACGAGGAAAAACGAACTTAGCCACTAGGGATTAAGTCGGTTTGAACATTTTTACCTAAGAGTACGAAAATTGATTTTGAAAGTTCTCAATGATTTATGGCACTTTACGAATTTCGAAAAACTAGAATCGACTTTTGGCGCCAAAAAGAATGGAAGGATATGGCTCTTGGTGCGTGTCAACGTTAATCAGGATTTTTTTGGAAAACTCGACAGTGAATTTTAATTTAAAATCAGTTTTGGAAGAAAAACAGAACGAAAAAATTTAAGAAAAAAATAAGTAATTAAAATTTCCGTAATGTGGATGATTGCGGACACGCACAACATAAATGACGCAACTTTTCAGAATATTACGGTTGGTCATAATTGCAGCCTTATAACTTTGAATATTGAAGTTCCTTCATAGGTTAAACAGAAAGAATACCAAATTTTGTAAGAAAAACTAACTCGGAATCCGAAACTTGTTATATCCAGTGCCATTGAGCAGTTTGTCAATAATTTCCGGCTGAAGAGTGCAATTCTTTTTGCGGTACGTCGACGCCTCGGTGACCGGATCCTCATCGGAGCTCACATTATAATCACTATCGATGATGACGCCACAATTGACCATGTAGACGAGCAGTTGTGATATGATAAGCGCATTGCTGCGCATCTAGAAACAAAATGAAACCCAAATGAACCAATGAGCCAATAAATGAGCCAAGGATGATGTGGGTGAAGGCAATGATGAATAATTCAAGACAAAATCAAAAGGGCGATTGGACGATGACAAAATCGTGGGAATTTTCGAAAACTACACGAAAAGGATGAGCTCGTCGCGGCTCGCCTGCAAAAACTTTTTGGCTCGATGCGGTGGATGGGCGGGGGGCGTGGCCTTCGAAAAATGGATTAGAGCAGTGGAATTTGCTCAGGAACATATGCGAAACAGTTGGTTTTCATAAATACTATCTCTCCAAAAAATGATTGCCAACAGCTGCTTGACGAACACGAAACAACTCGAAGAGCAAATGCGAAGAAGCTCAGCGTCAAACTTGCATTCGTTGCTATAACGATTCTAATTCGATTAGACCGGAATTTCCGATTCTCCTAAGACGAAAGATTGGAAAAATCAAAAACTTTCTGAATCGAGCTGCAACTTTTTGGTATTGCAGAAATTTGAAGGGTAGGGCTACTCGATTTTCGCTTGGAGACCTTGTTTAAAGGAACATGTTACTTGTTGCCGTTTTTTGACAAAAATTGTGACTTAACAAGAAATATTGTTGTAGATTATTTTACAAAAAAGCGGCTACAAGACTCAACCCCTTTCTGCGCTTAATGTACCTTTAATCAAATATTTTTTTTTTAATTTCGCGATTCAACTGCATATTCTCACAATTTTCCAAATATTCAAATCAAATCGATTTCTAAATATTCAAAAAATTAATTTAATTAAAATTTGGAAACAAAAAGCCGAGTAGTTTTAAAGACAATTCAAGGGTGTAAAAACTCGAAAATATTATTTTTACTATGCAATTTTTGAAAGGAGCTTCGAGCTTTTTCTCATTAACAGACTATATAACTAAAACTTCTACGTCATCACCGTATTCCGCTTAAAGGAGCATTGTGACGGTGTCTTCTAAGGTCTTGAAACGAAGCAAAGATTTCGATTTTTTTTTCCAAAAAAACTGAAAAAGTCACATGTATGTTGAGAATTGAGACGAAGTCGACATTAATGGCTCACGCGGTCGCCATCGAGTAACAGCCAATTATAATGATTCCAATTCTATTTTTTTCCCCATTTTCACTTCATAATTATATATATATTTATGCGGGCACCACGAGTCATTTCGAGGAGAAGCTGCGCGAGCAACCAAATTGAAATGCCGAATACCCATGGGCTCAATCCATAATAGGATCAAGTGATGAAAAACCTCTTCGAAAAGCACCGCCCAAAACCAATATCTATAGGCATATATGGACGAATGACGGATGACAGGAGCGAGGAGAAAAAAAACATAATATATATCGATATGGAGAAGTACGAAAAGTTGGGCTGACGGACGGCCGAGAAAGAGAAAAAGTAAAAACACCAGGAATGTGTGACAAATGAAATGTTTCTGGCAGGCAGCGATTTTTTTGGGCCCCCTTACTTTATGCTCTTTTTTGTAGAGCACTCCCAAAAGACCGCCCATCTCGGTGCACATATTAAATTTTTCGACTTGACAGATAGCTTCTCATTTCGTCGGGGGAGGGTTTAAGACGACGCTGCACTCGCGCGGCGAACATCACACATGAACTTTGTTTAATATTGGAGAAAAAAAAATCAACGAAGTAGAAGATAGATGGGCACGAGCTTGCGACAAATTTATTTGAATTGATCATGTTGTAATTTGTCACCTGCGGACATTCGTTGAGGGCCGGCTTCCAAAATAACAATGGTTGGCGGTTCGATATGCATAATGGACGGCAATAAAACAAATTGCATAATTTCAGTGGTGGCAGCGTCGCAGTAAACAAGCATTGATTAAAAAAAAGTGAAAGCGACTTGCGCAGCCGCGGCCACAAAAACTAGGCCACGCCGATTGCTGCTGGCAAATTGGAACGCTGCCTTCTTTGGCGAATATCAAAAGTAATTTAAATATAATTTTTGCATCCTATGTTCAATTTTTAAAAAATCAAATTCATTTTTGAGGCATGACAATATATTTTTATTAGATCACCGCAAAAATGCGTCCGCATTTTTGTTTTATTGCAATTAATAGTAATTTTATTTCAGCAAAACGCTACTTTAATATGAAATTCTCTATATCATTCAATGTTTTTTTCAAGATATGTCGTCTAAAATGAGTTCTGCTTATTAAAAATGATGCTGCAAAAAAGTGAATTTCTTTTGCAACGACCTAATAGTCAATTTCCTGTGCAAAACTTGGTTGGAGGACAAATAAATGACATGTGAGTTGAAAAAATATTAGAAAATTTCGAAAAAAGCGCATTTGCAAAATTGTCGATTATTATTTAGTCTCAAACGTCTCAACCCAATATTTCGATGGCTGGTACAGCTCCGTTTGAGCACGACTTCTCAGAACAATACGAAAAGGTTAAACATGTATATACATATTAATAAAAATGTGTTGGACGAGAGCAAAAAAAGTTGGTTGCTGAGGAAAGGGGTGGGGCAGTAAATGACCTCGATATGCCCATGTTTCCGGAGTTTTCGAAGCCCAATTTTCGACATTTTGCGCCAAATATGGAAATCGAAACAGATTGGTTATGCGCATATAAAGGTCATGATCAAAAGCGCTCAATCTCAATGTTCTTTTTTCTTTCGGCGTTGAGCGATGCCGGAAATCGCCGCCGACAAGGGTCCGTCTAATCACGCCTCTTTTGACTTTCTTTTTTTTTTTCGCTCGAAACGCCTCGACCCACCCGATAAAGGAGGAGCTGGAGCAGCTCAAGTAGCCGCCGCCACCACTTTTTGCCCATTGTTTCATTCATTATAATCATTTTGGATAAAAAAGAGAGCAAAGAATTTTTGAAAAAATTTTTTTTTGGAGGGGCGGGGGACGACGACTCAGACACTCGAAAATTATAAGAGAACTGCAATAAACAAGCGAGGTGTCATTCGTTGAACACTTTACAAAAATTCATGTGTGCCCAAATAGGGAAGTTTCACAAAATTGTTTGAGCAAAAAAAAAGAAACTGGCTAATGGGTCATGCATGGAAAGCGGCTAGGGCGAGAGAGGGATGGGGGGGGGGGAGGAAACCCGCAAAATAAAAATTAAAGATGAGGCACAAAAAAGAAAGACGTCAGACGTTTCCATCTGATCGTAATTGCAAGTGATGTTATGCACCTTTTGCGCATAAATAAGTTAGAAGGTCTTCTTCCGATCGACGCCCCGAGTTTCCCGTCGGACCCGGTCGAATCCGCGCGTGTTTTCGTCGCGTTAGGTTCACTTTCAGACGCTCTCCCAACAATTGAACTTCTCATTTTGGCCAATTATGCCTCACATCATAGTTGTTCTCTTTTTTCCTCCCTGCTCTCTACCATATTATGATTGTCTTTGATCTACTTTGGTGGAATTGCAATAGAGCATACTTGCTATTTTTCTACATACAGTGCTCCACATAATTATACGGTCAACAACAAAAATAACAAAAACGGAGTTGCTATATAGGAATACAATTTTGTTTTGGTAGCAAAAGGAATATCCCGAACCATCCAGTTTGGGTCCTGAAGCGAATACGAAATTAACATGACCAACGAATTTTTTTTTCATTTTTTTCGAAAAAGTGCGAAAAAAAATCCACATAATTATACGGTCACTTTTATTTTTTGACCTTTTTTCAATTTTTTTTTCAATTTTCAAGTACTCGAAAATTTTTTAAATAAACGTTTATTGTTTTCTAGGTATGAGTAGAGGAAAAAAGCTCACAGAGTATGAAAAAGGTCAAATTGACGCTAAATTAGCCCAAGGGCTCTCTCATCGTCAAATTTCGAGAGATATGGGCCGTTCGCATGACGTAATTTCTCGATATGCGGCCAATCCAGCAGAATATGGCACGAAAAAGTCTACTGGCCGCCCATCTCTATTTTCGAACCGAGAAAAGCGTAGAATTCTACGCAGAGCATCAAACTCAGTCATCTCCTGTTCAAAAATCAGAAGCGAACTCAAACTTCCCGTCTCCAATGAAACCGTCCGACGGGTTTTAAGCAAGAGCATGTTTATTAAAAACAAGAAAATGAGGAAAGGACCAATGCTGACCCGAATCCACAGAGAAAATCGATTGCAATTCGCCAAAAAGAATCAGCATACTGATTGGACTCAGGTTAGGATTGCAGCTGCACTCTTTAAATTTGGTTTCATATGTCAGGTTATTTTTTCCGATGAAAAAAAGTTTAACTGCGATGGACCAGATGGATTCCGCAATTACTGGCACGATCTTCGTAAACAGAAACTGCGTTATTCCCGCCGAAACTTTAAAGGAGGAGGTGTAATGGTTTGGGCCGCAATCAGTTCACACGGTCGCATCAAATTATGCTTTGTTTCGAAAAAAATGAGTGGCTCCGACTACAGATATACACTGAGGCGTGGTTTGATGCCATTTTGGCACCGAAATCGCAACCGCCAGCTTATTTTTATGCAAGATGGAGCGCGGTGTCACCGTGCTCGTCGAACAATCAAATGGTTAAATGACAGAAAGATCCCAATTTTGAATTGGCCCGCTTGTTCTCCTGATTTGAACATAATCGAAAATTTGTGGGGATTTATGGTACGAAAAATTTATGAGGGTAACAAGTGTTATGACAATGTTTCGGACCTCAAAAAAGCGATTATCGCTTCATGGAAACTTGTTGATCAAACACTTCTTGATAATCTATATATATCAATGGATAACCGTATTTTTGATATAGTCAGATGCAATGGTGGTCCAGTTGATTATTAAGAATTGTTCTTTGTTTATTTTTACGTTTTTGAATGGTTTTGCATCATATCTCATTACTGACCGTATAATTATGTGGAAGAAAATTTTCAATTTTTTTGTTAATTTTATGATAAGATTATGTACAATTATTTTTGTTATTTTTTGTTATAAACAGATGAAATGCTGCTAAATGTGGATAATTATTCAATGGGAAGATTTCCCGAAACTTTCAAAATTTTCGAAATTTTGAGAAAAAATCAATTGACCGTATAATTATGTGGAGCACTGTACTTCAAAAGTTTCCCGCCATTATTTGTGTTATCGATGGAGCGCACTTACCTCTTGTTATATCCGTTTCATATATTCGCTTTTTAATATATCGTTTTATTAGAGCGCACTTTGCTTCCTCATTTTTGATCTACTAAAATTCGGGTAGACTTCAGAGAACGCACTGGGGCTTCAAAAAAAAAATGTTGAACTCATGAGCAAGGAGATCAGAATTCGCGCGAAACGCACCGAACCATCATCAAAATCCGGAGGTCGAAAATGATGTTGCGGAAAATGCGAAACGGTGGAAACTTCGTCGGAGTTTGGTGGGGGGGGGTCCTCGAAAATGAAAAATGGGAGCAAATTGACGAAATGACAATATCAGGTATGACGACAACTACATAGAAAAAAAACACACACACATACACATGAAATGCACACAATAAAATAAGAAGACAACGACGAATAGGACCAGCGAGAAGAAGACGAAGGGGAAAAAAAATGGAATTCGAAGAGTCGTCGACACCTTAAACTTTTATTGGATATATATAAATTCGGCGGCTTCGAATATACACATATGTATAGGCATGTGTATGTGTGTTTTTTTTTCTCATTCGCCTTTCATTTTTATTGTATTGTCAAAACGAGCATTCGGATTCTGGAATTTGGAAAAAAGAAACGAGCGATTAATTGTATTCCTCAAAAAAATTTTGCCGAGAAAATAAAATTTATGCGCCTTTAATTTGAAATACCGTACTCGGAGATGGTCTAATTGGAGAGATCTTCGCTTCAATAATCTCTCATTTTTTTAGAAATGCGGTTTGAGTTACTGTGCTTTGATTAAAGGGACATTTCGATTTTTTTTAATCTTGAAGAGAAAAGAGCGATTCATATTGATTCTTACTGTTTTCAGAATTTTAAGATCTCCGGAAATCGATCTAAAATATTTTAATACTTCAAAAAAGGTGAAAATATTATAAGTCTGTAAACAAGTTCTAAAATTTCTAAGAAATATTTTAAAGTTACATTTTTAAATTTTATAATGCTTTCCAAAAAAAATAAAAATTTTAAATAAATATTAAGAATAAGGGAGATCTTTTATTTATTTATTTTAACTCTTTTTTTTTGCATTCAAACCAAATTTCGTTTCCAATCGATTGACGCAACCCTTCAGTTTGAAGACCTCCCTAGTGAGCGCCTAAAATTAGGGACAATTTGACCATTGACCTTGCATTTCTTGAGCTGACGTCAGCTCCTAAGCAACGTCTGCAAAATTTCGCAGTTCGTTCTCTTAAATATTCAAACGGTTGAAGTCGAAACCGCAACCGCGGACTCGATTCTTCAACGGGTAGAGGGAGGCTGGCCGAAAGAAAATCGGACGCCAAAACGCCAAATATGGAAGTAGGGCAATGGATTTTCTGAAAAATAGCAAAAATGAACAGATCATGTCAAAAACAGAATCAAACATAAGCGTTGCGACGTGGCGAGACCATTGTTAAAGGCGTATGAAGAAACGACTGGTGTTTCGTCATCAATTTGAAGTTTGTTTTTCAGAAATTCGAAGATGTGCAAATGGGGGGCGCAAATATGTATTAGGTTTTTTCGGAATATTGTGCTGGTAAAATTGAATGACAGGTTTTCGTTTTTTTTCTTAAAAAAAAAATGAGAAAAGAAACTCAAAAAACTTCGGCCACGGCCAGGATTTTTGAAGTCTACACTACCACAATTTTCCATTAAATCGCTGCGAGACTCATGACATTTCATCATATGCGCCTTTAACCCTACTTTTTTTCATTGTGATTAAAGGCGCATAAAAAACAAAATTATACAAAATTTTTTCCAAGTCCACATACACTACTACAGTTTTTATCAAATCGTCGCAAGATTCATAAAAATGTGGTATATGCGCCTTTAATCACAATGAAAAAAAAATAGGGTTTCATAATCGAAAACATTGGATTAAAAAAAATTAAAATCGGTTAAAGGCGCATATGATGAAATGTAATGAGTCTTGCAGCGATTTAATGGAAAATTGTGGTAGTCGTGACTTTAAAAAACCTGGCCGTGGCCGAATTTTTGCTGCATAGGGCTTTTTTCAACCAATTTTTTGAAATTTTTTTTCAAATCTGCATAGTACCATTTCAAAAAATTGATTATATTTAAAAATTTTGTGGAATTTTTTTTTGACGGATTCGCATGTCATTCATCAAATTATGCAATCTCGAACCAAACTACACAACTTACAAAAAATGTTTTTTTTAAAGAGTTGCTCGCAATGTTTTCAGCTCGTTTCGACGAGTCTTTAATTTCAGAAAAAAAAAATCGAATGTGTCAACTTATTTGAAAGTATCGCGCGTGTCACTTCGAAACACCATCAACTCTTCGCCCCATAATTGCCGTCGTCGTCGTCGTCGTCGTCCGGCTTCATAACGTCATCCGTATTATTATTTTCAACATTACTTACATCCCAATATCGGAAGTCTACGGTAGCAATTATTTATTATGAGCAACGAGTGTTCCATTAAGGATTTCTTGTTGGTCGGTCGGAATGGAAATTGGCTTTGCCGTTTATTCGGCACCAAAAATAAAATAAATCAATCAATTTTTAACAATACGAACGCGGAAATCGCGTTAAACTTGACAATAATAGCACTTTCAGAAAACATGTTTTTCAGCGGCAAAAATGGCCAAGTCACCTAGGGGGGCTCGAACCCGCCACCTAAAAATTAATAGTCTCCAATTGAACTAAAATGGTCCCATGGACCGCATTGGTGTTTATTTCTTTCCAAAGACAAACGCTCGTCCACCAGAAAGTCCATTCACATTATAGGTTCGACCGTAAACGCCGGCTGCTGGATTACTGTAACCATACGCATAATTACCGGTGGTTGGATTCGAGTAGCCGTAGCGACCTCCAAATCCTGAAATTATATCAATTTTATATTAATTTACAAAAAAAAAGAATTACCTTGATAGCCTTGGGCTCCACCATAGGCTCCGGTGTTCGGATTGGCGTAGCCGTACCGATAACCGCCAGTATATGGATTCCTTATACCATACGCATAATTACCAGTATTCTGATTATAAATATACCTTCCGTAACCTTAAAAACACATTTTTTCGAATGAAATTTGCGAAAATAAAGATTACCCCATTGCGCTTGAGTTGTGGCGAAAATGGTGAAAATGATCAATATAACTGGCGCGGTCATGTCAATGGAATTTTGAAGATTTTCCGAAGCATTTATAGTGTTTATTCAATGTTTTCGTCTAACATGTAGTTCTTAAAATGTCAAAAATCGTAATCTTTTTGAAAACATCAATTTGAAATCATGTTTCTTTTTTAAAAACACGTTATTCTGTTGCTGTCTGCCCTACTCCGCATCGCTTATACGGCGTGCCTCTCCGATCGCTCGTGGCCTCCTTAGCTCAGTTGGTAGAGCGTGAGACTTTTAATCTTAAGGTCAGGGGTTCGAGTCCCCTAGGTGGCTTGAATTTTTTTTCAATTTTTGTGAAATCATTTATTAAAATTTTAAATAATACAATTATATACAAAGGAAAAAGGTAGTGCTGATTTATTTCTTTCCCATTAATAATCCGAGTGCGGCACCTGCTACAGCCCCCCGCAAAGCACTTCCAACAGGGTTATGATATCCATGATAGCCGCCATAGGGACCATATCCACCGTAACCGTAGCCAGGGTAGCCGTAAGGTCCCATCATTGGAGGATGCATCATACCGTAACCATATGGCATGTATCCTAAAGAGTTAAACATTTTTATTAGAATTGTAATACAAAGAGGAAATTACCGAATTGTGCTGAGGCGGTGTTGAATGAGAGCAGGAGCACGAAGAAAACGGTGAAATAGTTCATATCGGCTGGAATTCAGAAGGCGGAATGAGGAAAAATTCTAGAAATAATTGAAATTCAGCGGTTTTTGAAGATGATTTCGCGAGCGCGCGCGCGCGCGACACAAATTCGACGAACTTGAAATTATATCGAGAAATAGTGTGTGATACATCAGAGACGCAGAGAAAACGAGAAGACGTCAATTGAAGAAGAATAAGGTGATGGTCAGCCAACGAAACTGGTTGTTATGCCCAAAAGAGGAGATTACCCGTCGACGATTTCGAGAATTTATTTTTTTTTCGTTTTTGATTGGGGTTTTCAATTTGGCATGGTTGACGCATTATTGGCTGACCGTCGAGGTCATTTTTACACTATGGTCGAATGATAAGGAAGTTTCCAGATGAACCGAATGATCAATTCAAATTGTTACCAGGAAATCGTTGGTTGTTGATAGAATTGTCGCGAAGTTTTTTTTTTCTTTTTTCGATCCAAAGAAAATCACGCGTGTGGCATTATTGCCAATCGGCAAAAAAAAACAGAAAAAAAACATCCAATTCTGAATTTTTTAATCGAAATTTGAATAAACACACAGAAAACAACAAGAATCCCCGATTTTTTTCCAATCGTTTCATATTTTCCGAAAAATAAGCGGCTACCAGAATTTTTCGCTGCAAGACCTTGGAGTTTTGAGTTCACTTTTAAATAATTCATTTCGAAAAATAGACGCCAAAATTATGGTAGACGCTTTCAATCTTGGGAATTTTAACCTATTAATTCATTTTCATAGCAGGCACTGTTTTTCTTTTCAATTTTTATCTTAAAAAACGGCAATTAAAATCGGCAAAAATTGAGAAAATGAGATGCGAAAAAAAGCAGGACACAGTAACGTATTTCAAGGCGCACGCGCTCTTTTAAAAATTATTTCACGTCTGAAAATTGTCGAAAAAAAAAATGCTTCAAGTCTCCTTCTTAAAATTATAATAATGTGAACAAAAACTAGAAAATCCAGAAAATTAAATATTTTTTAATAAATGTACAAAGGATTTAAAAAAAAATATTTTCAAATTTTCGAAAAAAAAATCAAAATGTGTTGTAAAACCTTCAATTTTGAAGAACAAAAATTGCGAACTTTTTTTTTACGTTCAATCTTTTCGCCTTTGATTTCGCGCAAAAATTGACCAAACACTCAATTTTCGTGATCTTTCGAATCGCCTTGACTGGTATTCTAGAGGGTCAAGCGACTGAACGAAATTACAAAAAGGTTTTGGCTATGTGGGTCTCAAAGCAGTGAGAAGTTCGCGAGACTGCGTACATTGCATTATAGTGTACGAGCATTTAATATTCAGTCAACGATAATTTTGAATCTATATCGATTTGACGAATTTCAATGCCCCGCCTCACTTCATTCGTTTGACACCAACAATATTTAAATGTAAAAAATACCATTCAAACTGCGCGCGAATCAACACACACAATAATTTATGCGAAACTGATTCAATAATTCAATAGAACTTGTTTTTTCCTTGACGCTTCTTCTCCAACTTCTTCATGATCCCTTTCGGAATGTCGGTGGCGGCAAACTCGTTCGGGTTCGCAACGTGTTGCATTTCGCCGCTGTTCTGCATCGAATCGAGCATTCGATTATTTCAAATTCAACTTGCTCATTTTTTTCGCGGCAAGACCCAACGCGAATTTTCGCTTCAAGAATCTTGAGAAATAAATAGCATGTTCCTTTTAAATTAACCAACAAAATTGAATATTATTTTTCTGGTTGTGAGGAAAAAAAAAAAAGAATTTCAATCCTAATTCGGCCTACCCATTTTTCCTTCGAATCATACGCGACATCAGGATCAAAAATCACATTCAATGTGCTATGCTGTACATCATAGTATTGATTGAACTCGAAAGAATCGGCTTCCTTAATAAGGCAGCAAAAAAAATTTCAAAAATTGGAAAATCTTATAGTCGGCATCCGGCGACTACTGTAAGCTGGTAGATTTACGGGAATGCGTCTTTCTCTGGGTCTCGCATGGACTAACTGGTTATTTCAAATTTTTTGGACCGGATCAATAATTTTTCAATCGAATGACGTTGGAAATTCAAGGAAATGTGAAACTCATCAAGAAGAATGAAGTAGATCACGTGAAAACAGAAAAACAAGCGTTCACGCGTGGCGAGACCTTTTAAAGGCGCATGCGCGTAAATCTACACGGACGCCGTCTATAATTACTTCAACTAGTCGTTTTTTGTTCGTGAACAATGGATGATTGAATTCGGGCGTTTTGAAATATTTCCTCTCCAGCGGACCAATGAATCTAAACACTCGAAATGACAGAAGACTGTCCATCACAATTACCCCAATTTTCTGCAATCCCAAAATGAGGAAAGCATCTTGTGTGGTCCCAATTGCCTCGGATTACAGTGATGAGTTCCGGGCTTCGATTCGTACACTTTCTAAAAAAAGAACAACTAAGATTAAAAGAAAACGATCAAAAGTTACAAATTCGCTTCGAATCGCCTCCTTCTCATAATCTCCAAGCTTTTCGAACCTAAAAAAAATGAATCATACCGTAATTTTTTGATATTTAAGCTTTCACCAAGCATCATTCGAATAGATTTTCTCCCAATTTTCATTGTCAATTTTGTCCTGGTTTTCTTGCAAAAGCTGTCTTGCCTTCCACTGAAATTTGACATTTCTATTTTTTTTAGGGACCATTTTCCAGATGCCTACAATTTGAATCGTTCGAATATACGGAAATCGAATAATGTATATCGGTGGCGCGGTTTCAAGGAATCGAAAATAGTCTTGTATGAAATTGCCGTAGCGAATCACCGGAAAATCACCCAACGTTTGTCGATAGCTTGACTGACGTAGAAGGATTTGATAAGCCTCCTAGAATCCGTAGATAAAGCTGGAATTGAACAAAAAAAATGGGGAACAAACATCAGCGAATTCATCATTTTCGTTGTGGAAATTCATCAAAGAGACGCACAGAGTTTTCTTCAAATAATTGTAAACTGCCGGGTTCACCTAAAAAATCACATTTTTATTTTCTCTCAAAACAAAAATGAGACGATTCGCAATTTTTCGAAATTCCGCTGCTCGCCGGACGCCTCGCAATTATAGCAAATCCAATCGCCATTCAATATATCGCGAATCGTGTCGGCGACTAGTTTCGCCAATTGCAATAGTCCCGTCGATTTGGAATTTTTCAGCCACGATTGCTTGAAATGCGTGTATTCCGTTATGGCGACGTGCTGAGAAAAAAAAAATTGGGTGTTTCAAAGAAGAAAAAATCAATCAAATTCCTACGATTGCACAATCAATTTTCGACATTTCTCCTTTTCGATTCAATCGCAGAAAACAATAATTTCGAAGAATCGCCAAATGGGCGACGTCTCGAAGGTACGATGGAAAGAAGTCATGGGCGGTCGCACATCCTTCAGCGCTGAATTCATATTCATGATTTTCGATTCTTTCAATGTCAGGGATATTGGGAAGCAAGACGCCGGGAAGTTGAGGGAACTAAAAAATCACCAAAAAAATGCTTAAAATGATTGGAACTTCCACATTTCTCATCATCCTCTCCCTTCTATCGATCAATAATTGACGATGATTCTCAATTTTTCGAATTTCATCTTGAATTTCTCTCGCTTTTTCATGTCGGTATTTTTCGGGTTTCAACCATTGAAGGGTCTACAATCAAACAAATATAAGACTGAAATTTTCAATTGTGGTTTGAATACCTCATCTCTCGAAAATAGAGTAATCGAATTGAATATTGGCGCGTAATTCTTCGGAAGATTTAGCATTAGAAAATTGCAAATTTTCGACCATGACGAAGAGTCGAGGATAGCAATTTGAAGGCAAGAAGTCAGAATGAGAAGAATCAGCGATATTGTGTACAATCTAAATATTTCTCAAATTCGTTGACGACGAATAATTGAAAAAAAAGACATGTCGAATATTGGGGCTTCCGGATAAGACGACGTGGCCATTCCAAGAATGTATTGAAGCCAGAAAAGAATGGGAAGAACGACGACAAAATAACGCTGTCGTTTGACCTTCTCGACGAGCTCAATCATACAGGGGCTGTAATGCTGAAACCACGCCTCGATTTTCCATTTATAAGCATCGTTGTCTCCTCTGCAATGAAATATTTGGGTACAATTTTGACGGACCATTAATTGGGACATACTCGAATCGAATAATACCGCGAAGATGAATTTGAAATATCAAGACGAGCAGAAAATTGAGGAATATCATCAATGTGGCTGGCTGCCAGTTTTCAGTGGTCACCAGGCCAATGCATGTCCATTTCGTTGTGAGACCTTGCTGCTGAAATTGGCGGCAAATAAGCGGTTGAAAACGAAATGGTTTACGTTTTCAGAGAATACGAGCAGATGGACAAGAGTGGTGACGGCGACGGATGCAACTAGTGGTAGGCCGAGGTAAAGCTGAAATCATCAGAAATTTTCGATTTTTTCGTCTGTCCCTTTATACTAGAATATTGGTTCTTCTCGATTCTAATGTATGATCATCCCAGTCGTTCCACACATTCCGATGACGACATAGAATTGCTCCTTGATATGTAAGAATTTCGGAAATATGGAACGTTGTCACTAAATTAAACAAAAATCTTCATGTGATAAAAATTGAATATCCAGAAAATTTTTGCATTGTCAAAATGGGGTTCTTATTTTTAAAGTATTTAACAGGTGAAATTTCATTGAAAACATCTGCGGACAATCTCCCGGGCCGGAAGTCCTGTTTTTTTTTGACAATGCTAAAAAAATTTCCTATGCACGCATGTCGAAAAATACAAAAAGAAATTTTTGACGGTATTCTGTATTTTATTTCTTTTGGCAGACATTTAAAGTGACGTGACCTGCTCAAAAAAAAAAAAAAGAAATAACACTGATAAAAAGAGACAAAAATTAATGAATTACAGTAGCGCCAATTTTTGTATGCTCCTTTGAAAATTGATTGCTGAGAATTACGATATACGTAGTTGGCGTCCGGCGACTGATATACGCGGGTAGATTTACGGTGATGCGTCTTTCTCTTGGTCTCGCACGGACTAACTGGTTATTTCGCATTTTATGGACCGGCTCGATAATTTTTTAATCGAATGACGTTAAAAATTCAAGTAATGCCAATCTCATCAAGAAAAAATAAATAAAGCGTTCACACGTGGCGAGACCTTTTCAAGGCGCATGCCCATAAATCTACCCCGCGTACAACAGTTGACGGACGTCGACAATAGATCCATAATAATATATCAAAACCGATACCAAGTAAAGCTGATCCATGGATCAGAAAGAAGTTCAGATTGCAATGACTGAGATTCAAATTCAATATCTGAGGTTTGCGGCCAACGGCAAAAACGAAAATGTACACGAAGAGCGCCCAATGGCGAAATGTGACGATTAATGAAAATCGATCCTAGTGATCATTTTGGTGTGACTTGTTGAAAATGAAAATACCTCAACGTTGCGGAATATTTGGGCATAAATGAGCCAAATGAGCAAAAGGGACCATGCGAGATTGCTGGAAATGTTTGTTGTCGAATATTGGCCATGCTGAAAACTTGAATATCTTAATTTTTTTTAAATATTGAAAATACAAAATTCGATTCGAATTTGGTTCTGTTGAATTCGCAATGATCCAATCCATATCCTTCGTAGCACTCGCAAATTGGACCCGACAATGTGTTCACACAAATTCTGAATAATAATTGTTAAATCTTCAAAACCGTTTTGACACTACCCATTTCTCGAACAGAAATTGGACGATTCTTCATCATTTCGACAATCGCCATCAAAAATCTCGCAAAAAAATCCCTGAAATTTCAAGAGTCGATTTTTTCATCGATTTTCCTCTCAACAATATATTTGTCGTGACAATGGCATCTGAATTGCTCGCTGTCTTCGATCGGTTCGCATTTTTTCGTTCCTTTCCAGCTACAGAAGCGGCACGACGTCACGTTTTCTTGATAGAAGCCGATGGGTTCAATTTGAATTTTTTTTTGTCGCCCTGGAAAAATGGTTAAAATAAAAATGAAGAATTTTTTAAATATTAACAAAAACTCAGCAAACGTGCGGTTGAAACAACGTTGAAATGAAATGTCTCCGTCTCTCAAAATCGTGTACTCTCTCTCTCAAATCACCATTTTCATCGGCGTTTCACCAAAAAATGACGCCATCGAATCGGCACCCAAATTATTTCCAATTTGCGACAATTTTTTTCGGGAATTGGGAGCAATTAATTAAATTTTTTTCAAAGAATTGCAACATTTTTGGAAAATGATGAATTTGATAGATACGGCAAATATTCAAAATCTAAAAAAATTGCATCACAACAATTCGATCGGGACTTTAACCGTAAGAACATTTTGGTACAAGCAAGGGAAAAATAAAATTGGTTGAAGTAAAAGTCCCAAATTGGAGTGTGGTACTCGTAGGGTAAAAAATGATGTATTGGGACAAATCGCGGAAGTTTTTGGGAACGCCGATGTTTAAGCCGAAACCATTCACGGATCGTCCTTTTCGAATCGCTGAGTGAATTTTGACAAAAAAAGGCATACACCGAAATTTCGTCTACAGCAATATTTGAGAACACTCTATACGTTTTGTTTCAATTCGATTTTTTGGAAAATTTTGATTACAAAAGCGACTGCACGATACTGTAATTCATATGTACATACAGTGCTGGCCATAATTCTATCCAAAACCGCATTTTCAGTCATAACTTTTTTCAAAATTGGCCGATTGATCTGAAATGTGTTGAGAATGTTTCTGACGTTATGTCCAACTAATTCACCAATACACTTTTTTCAATTTCAAAAAGAAAGTAAAAAATTGCAAAAATCCAAAAATGAGGCAGCACTCAATTTTAATCATTTTATAGCTCATGTATGCCAACCTTTTACTTCACAATTAATTGAATCCGGCGAAGGCTGCCACCATCCAACTTTTCCACAAACAAAATCCAAATTTGTTTTGCTCTCCTTACAAGTCAATCTAAAACAATTAAATCATCAGTTATTTTCATTTTTCTTCGTCACTTCAATTTCTCATTCGTATTGAAAAGCGTGTCGTTTCTCTCAGGCATTTCAACTAAATCCTTCAGACCATCAACAGTGAAGAAGCTTCCAGTTGAGCATTGATTATGTTTGCCAAATTCTGGAATACATTTCACAATATTGTCGAGAAAAAATAAACGGTTTTCTTCTTACTAGGAACTCTACAAATCGAGGCAACATTTCCAGCGGTTTTGTTCAAATTGACTAAAACCGACGAATTCGGGAAATTGCTCAAGTCGACGGCTTCAATCTAGAACAAATATTTGAATCAAAAATCAATTTTTTGGTTGATCAAACTTTTCGCTGTTTTCGAAGAATTTGACCGTTCTCAGGATCACAATATATCCAAGTATTGCCAGTTCCTTTCAAGCTGAAACTCAAATTTTTGGGATCTCTCTGAAATCGATTAAAGCCAAACGCTAAATTTGCAACAATTTGCCGCTCGTGTTGATCATGCATAGCGTATTTCGGAACAAAATTCGAAGTGCGACCATATTGGTCTCGACAAGCGCCGATTTGAAAATGGCTAGAAGGACGTCTGAAGCCTCGTTTTTTTACTAATCGGATTCTCGGATATCCTACGTATTGGCAAGTCCATAGCAGAATAAATTACCCTCGATCATCCCAATAGGGCAGGCAACAGATGACTCGACTCCATTATTATCCTCACATCGAACCAACGGAATCCAAAAATCATACAATAATAGCAAAATGAGCATTTTTGTAGCCATCATACTAGGATGGAATGAAATGATGAAAATCTGCGGTTTACGAGTTTCTGGAATTTTTATTGCGTTCACTTGGATACTGAATATAAATTGAGATTTTATGTCGATAACATAAAATATTCGAAGCATCGCGATTAAAACAAGTCTCCATGACGTCGGTCGCCACGGATTCAACAAGAAAATGAGCACTTGTGATGCGAATTGAAATGAAAGTTGAGAGGGATGCTCCTTTAAAGAAATATTTCGACGAGTTGACATCAATTATTTTGAATTTAACTCAGGTAAATCGAATAAAATATTTTAAGATTCATTGAGAAACTAACATGTCTCAATAATAATTTAGAATTTGCTCAATAAAAGAAATTATTTGAAGATTTTGGAATTTATTGAGATAATTTCGAATTTTCTCAATAATAATTTAGAAATCTTGAAAGATTAAAAAAATTTTTAAAGTTTATCGATTCTCAATAAGTTTTAGAAAGTATCAATAAACTCTAGAATTTCTCATAATTTTTCAAAAATTTTTTATTGAGTATTTTATTCTCAAATTAGTTTATTTGATTTGTCAGAGCTCAATATTTAAAATTTTCACAAATTTTTGAATTTCTACAAAAAAAATTCAATTAATTTGTTGCAAAAAATTTTAAGAAATGAATTTTAAAAGAGAAAAAAAGAGTGCATTGTTGCGTACCTGTGTATGCACCGGGAAGCGGACCTCATTAAATGTTTTTTTTTACTCCTCACAAGGGAGGTGTTTTTACTTAGTGGTTTGGAATTTTTTCTAATTTTGCACACAAATAGATCAAGAAATTCCCTATCGAGTGTGCTATGTCGTTTTCTGCAAAAGTTCCAAAAAGACCCAAAACTTTGGGTCCGAAGTTTCGAATTTTGATCCATTGTTTTTATACACTGTTTCATAATTTTTAAGTCTTTCAAGATTTTCAAAAATTTATTGAGCCTCAATAAATTCTAAAAATTCGTTTCTAAAAGAATCTCAAAATATTTTTTTTCGATTTACCTGAGTAGAACAATGTTGTAAAAATAAAAATCGAAAAAATTTTCAAGATGCCCGTATTAGCCGTATATAGGCATATCAAATCAATGCCTTCAAAAAAATTGTAAATTATTTAATTTCACATCTTATCATTTATTAACAATTTGACTAATTACATAACTGAACCAGTAGATCACAATGAGCTCAACCAACTCGGCGACAACACAGCGGTGAACAATTGACCGTCTGAGAGTAGAATTGGTGAAAGCGCATACGGCGAGAGCACGAAGGCGTTGACGAATGGCGGCGAGAATATGAATGGGGATAGTACGAATGGCGACAGAATCAATGGCGACAGTGTGTTCGGCACGCCAAGAAGTGGCGAGAGGCAGAATGGATTGAGAATCACCGGCACCATTACCAGCGGGGTGAGGATGAACGGGTTGAGAACGAATGGCGAGAGAATCAACGGGTCGGCGACGGCCGGAGAAAGGATCAACGGACCGAGGCACATTGGAGAAAGAATGATCGGCGAGAATATGGTTGGCGAAAGGATTATGGGGCCCAACACTCTTGGGGAAAGGATGAGGGGGCTGAAAATCCAGGGGGAGAGGATCAGCGGACCGAGCGCTGATGGGGAGAGGATGAGAGGTGAGAAGACCAACGGCGACAGGACGATTGATTGAGAGACGACGTCGGGGGCGAGAACTAATGAGCTGAAAACCACCGGCGACAGTACAATATCCTTCTGAAATCGATTGCACATTTATTTTGAGGTTGAAAAAAAAATAGCTGACTCTTTTCGAAATTTTGAACGCGTTCTCCTCTTTCGCCAATAATTTGATATTAGCTTCGAGCAATTTTCCAACATCGCTTCTGCTCAAATTTCTGAAATTCTCGAGGGCTTTCGAATCGTTGTATGGGCTTCCGGGACCATATAAAACGTGGAGTTGTCGAGGTGTCATCACAGCGAATCCCGTCGAATTGAGTTCTTTGAGCTGTTCGACAAAATAAAATGAGTATTTTAGAATTTTTTCCAACCTGCTCATTTGTCAGTGATTTATGAAGTAGCTTCATTCGGTCGACTTTCGACGCCTCATATTCGCCGTACATTTCCGTCACATTTTCTTTGGTGAAATACAACGGTTTGCCGTTCTCATCGTGCATTCTTTTCTGCCACACTTCCTCTTCCTCCTTCCTCTCTTGTTCCTCAAAAATTGTTATTCAAATTTCATCTCTACAGTAGGCTTTAAAGGCCCCGCATTTGACAATAATTAAATGCTCCAAAAACAATTTATGGACTCGTGTGGATTTGAGTTTTTCACTATGATCTCCGTCAACAAATCCGAAATACCAAATTTAAAAATGAATGAAAAATGATTTAGACAATAAAGGTATTCATTTTTAAGGTTTACGTTTTATTTTGCCCGTTTCCCAGTTTCAGTGGAATTTCAGAGAAAAACTTGCTGATTGAAGAATGGGAAAAATTTCAAATCAAAATTTAATTAAGCCAAATTTTGCCAACGAAATTGAATTTCAAATGCTCACTTTTTTTTCTAATATCGTTTTTCTGCAAAATTTACAACTTATAACGATTTATTATTTTCTTACGGAAAATTTTTAATATTTACTTGGGACCTCATTATTTGTTTTATTATTTGAATTGCCGCCACGGGACTCGTATGGAAAGAAAACACCTTTCGATTTTTTTTAAACAGATCTAAATCATTTGCAAATTTTTTTATGAATTTAAATTTTGAGATTATTAGCTTTTTCTATCAAATAATCTTAATTTTAAAAAGGCAAAAAAAACCTTCATTCTCTCAACGGCTTCAGTGACTCCAGAAGCCTCAAACACAAAATTCATCCAATCCTCCTGTCCGGATTCGGCAATAATTCGGAACGTCTTCGCCAGCGACAGATTCTTCTCCAAATCGCTTCCCTGCTCATGAAGAGCCAAAACCGAAGGCGACAAAAGATTGACCTAAATTAGACTAATTAGAGGAATTAATTGGCATTAATATTACCGTTTGATTCGTGTGCTCATCAGGGAAAACACTCATAAATTGAGGCGAGAATATGGCGATTTTGCGCTCATCAAAATTCGTTGTGTTCGTACCATTAAGCATTAAGCCTAACTTGACACCTATAATTGGTTAATTAAAAATTGAGGACAAGTAATTTAAAAAATTGCTCCATTTTATGTGAATTGCAGATTCCCAAAAAAATGAAGAACAGCTACTGTAATTATTCTATGTCGCCAGACGCGTCGCGGTTCGCGTTTACTCGACAAGGTCTTGAAGTGAAATATTCTGGATTTCGATTTTTTCTGTGGGAAACCCATTATACAAAAAAATTCACTTTTTTCATCAATCATAAATCAAAATAAAGGAAATTTAAGAAAAAACCGAATGCACGAGAAATGCGTCAGTGAAGAGCATCATAGCTTCCAATTTTCTTTTTTTTTTCCAATTTTCCTGGCCTCATCGAAGGTATCCGAATAGCCAGCGTTCTTCTCCAGACTTGAAATCATTGAATTAATCCGTCTGGCGGATTTTGAAGACAAAGGTCAATTCTAAAATTCCATGAAGAAGTCGACGAATTGGACAATCTATCCGAACATCCCAAGCATCAAAGAATGTCGGAAGCATCGTCGAGCTGCCTTCGCCGACAAGGGCGGCCATAATGAACAAAAATAGAAAATTACTATTTGTTAGATGTTAATTAAAATATTTGCTTAATTTCGTTTAATTCTGGCAATTCGTTTTCATGTTGGATTCTCTCAAACTACTCCGGGTAATCTTTAACAATCGCTTTTCGGCAGCCTACCTTCTCGAATTGTCAAAATGGCATTCTTGAAAGCTTTTTGCTCATCGGTCATGTTTTTCGGCAACATCTCATCGCTCCCATTCTCATCATCGTCGATGATCTCCTCGATTCCCTCAAATACCAAAAAATTGTTTGAAAATCATCTGAAATGCTCTCAGAAACCATCGCCTCGAATCCCGATTTCGGATCGACGCCAATTCCGCGCATCATTCGCGAGTAGTTCTCAAACTTCTTCCGAATTCTCCTCATCGCCTTCTTCTTCTTTTTCCTCTCCTTGATTTCGGCTTTGATCTCGTCCAGCACCTGCTTCCAGTTTTTCAGCACCTTTTTCGGATTGCTCTTCTTCTTCTCCTCGTGCAGCAGTTTCGTCAATTGTTGAGCAATGAGAGCCAACGGCGATTTTTTCTTCTCATCGATCAACTCGAAATTCGATTTCGTCTCGATTTTCCACGGAATTTCGCGCTTCACTCGCCGCCGTCGACGATTTTTGGCGTTCCGCAAATAATGCAATTTGGTGCGATGGAACAGCTCGACGACACAATTCGCGTGGTCCCTCAAATTTTGCGCTTCATTCGTACAATTGTTGTGGGACAATTTGTCGCGTCTCGTGAGCATTCCGCTTCTTATTCTGAAATATTTCTTCTTATTCTAATGATCACTGCGGTCTGAAGCAGCGATTCGCAAAATGGGACCCCACGCCTCCTGTGATTTTAGGGTCCCGAAACAAATAAAACTTTTGGCTATACGAGTCAGAAGAATGACTACATATTTTCATTCTGCAATTTCCGTGCAAGACCTAAAAGAGGAGGGGACCTACTTCTTCGCAGCCACCGCTGCCATTAATCCCGACATCGCCTGATTCGCCCAGTGCTGTAAAAGCTCGTCGCCGGCTTCTGGCGAGATTCGAATCAGCGTCTTATTCTCATCCCTCACCATCTGATGATCGATTCCATCCATTTTCGCGATTTTTTGAATCCGTATCTACATGTACATTTCTTTTCAAATTTGAGCAAATTCCGATTACCCCATTCGAGCTGCGACCATTTTCCTTCGACGCACGTTTATTGAGAATCATTCCATCGCCTGCCAAAAATAATTTAGAAATAATTAATTATTGAAATAATTGGATACCGAGTTGGGCGAGAATCGAGAATATTGCGAGGGCGATGAACATGTCCAAGAAATGAGTTCGATTCTGCGGTCTCGCAACGACCCAAATTCGTCGACTAGTTGTTAAGTTGAAAAGTAAAAGTTAAGTCATTAAGTATTTGTGCAGTCGTTTGGAAAATCGGCAACATTTGCCCGATAATTTGTGGAACTAATCGGTCGCGCTTAGTCGGCGAAAAAACAATTGAATGTGATGTGCGGTTGCGCAGAGATCCAGCGAAAACTGATCTATTTGATTGTTGAAACCAAAATTTTGACATGTTGCGCCTTTAAACACGTCTGGCATTTAAATGTGATGTTTTCACAAATTATCATTTTTGTTACGAAAATCTCACCTCACAGATTAATAATTTCAAATTTTTTTCGACAAATATTTGAAAAAACGAATTTTTGAAAGGATTCGTGCAATTTTGCGTGAGCGTGTATGCACTTTTAATGGTTTGACAAGAACTACACGTTTTCGATGATTTTCATCAACTTTTTTGTGACGAACCCAATTTTTTAAAAGGTGCCCGAATTAATGATATCAACATTTTATATCACTTCTATTTTTTCAAACGAGGTCTTGTGGCGAATTTATTTCAGATCACATTATTTATTAACAAATTGATTAATTAATTGAACCAGTAGATCATAAAGAGCTCAACCAACTCGGCGACAACACAGCGGTGAAAAATCTGTGAGTCGATGGGTTCGATCGGATCGCATTCCGTTCATTTCGATTTTGAAATGCTCGTCCAAAATTTGAGCAGTTTTTAAAGGCGCATGCCTGTTAATTCAAATACGATGTTAGATAATTTCCAATTTTGATAGACCATTATGTTTAGTAATTAGCTAATTGCATTTAGCTCTAATTATGCTTTTGGATTGTAATGGATGTCTGAACCGAATTACAAAGACCAAAATCGCTGCGGGACCAATGCTGGCCGCTTTTTAACTTATGTGGTATATAGTTAAGAAGCGTTTTCTATTTGATATATTTTCGAGAAATTCTTGATATTCTTAATTAATAAGGCATTTTGTTGAAAAAAGCGAATTCAAATTGTTCTCTAATCTCATGATTAGCTCGAATTATAATTCTTCCACATTCGCGTAAAAAAATTTTTTTTGATGATTGAAACTTGACCCAATTCATCAGAAAATCACGACGTCTGGAAAAAAAATTGAATGAAATTTCGCAGATTAAGAACAATTAGAACGAACGGGGAAAAAAGGGCATTGATTCGATGGTCATTGATCAGAAATGTTGCGAATAATTCGGCACGCGTCAATCAAATTTGCGAAGAGAAAAACCGAGAGAAGGGTTCAATAAGTATCGCAAAAAAGTTAAACCGAATTCGCCATCGTTTATTTTTTTTTTCAATGGTATTATGTATGTAGTTTTAAGCGGCTGGATTGTGTCTTCTACTCAATGGTCCGAATTGTATATGTAGAAATGGTATGGATCTAAAATGACGCTTGCCAAAAAATATGCAAGTGTCTAGAATTTCGAAATTTGAAAAAAAATGTAATACAATTTCGAGAGAAAACGAATGAGACAATTTTGCGCCATTTCTATGGTCTCGCCACGCTTGAGCACTTATTTGGTTATTCTCAAATGAACTGTCATGTTTGCCATTTTCTAGAATTTCGAGCGTCACAAAAAATTTATACAATGCAAAAAAACCCGGTCTCAATATATAATTTTCAAAATTTTTTTCGTGAATTTTTGAGAAAATCGAAAATGGCATGAGAATCGAAAGTATTTCTCGATTTTGTTTTTCCAAAATTTCAATTTTTAAAGTTCTGAATCGAATGAGCGGTGTATTTTTAAAAAATGATCCCTTGGAAAATTTTAAATTTCACTTGGATTCAATATTTTTCTGGTTTAATTAGTATTATTGTAGATGCATTTAAGATGAGCGAGCGAGCAATTCGATTTGCAATGAAGAAGAGCGTCGCGGACAAGTTTTTTATTTATTTCGAAGAGTAGGAAGCAATTTTATAAATTTATGTCAGAGTGCTCTCGATACTGATGACACTATGGTCCGATCACTTTAGAAGACTAATTGAAAATGATTTTCTTTATGATATTAGTTGAAAAATTCGAATGGCTGGCTCTAAAGAGTGCCGTTGGAATTCGCAGCATTTGAGTTGTCTCTGAATACTTCTTGCGACTTGCCAGCGTCGCTGAGAAGCCGCCCGGTCGGTTGAGTATGAATATTCCCGACCTGCGTGAGACAGTGTGTCGATTAGCCTGACTCGACATCCCCACCCTGAAGGAGTGTCGAGTCAGTTGATCTCCTTCGCCAAGTATGTAGAGGCTCGACACTTGAAGGAGAGGCTCACCAGCATCAGGCCGAAACCTGATGTGGGTCATCGCCGATCCCACCATGGGGATCACCCAAGGACATCCCACAACTATCATCCGAGGATAATAGAAGTAGAAGTGGTTGGGCAAGACACGTCTGGCTGGGCCCCGGGTCTACTGGTGATATGGTAATGTGGTTTTTGTCTTCTCAGCACAGCAGCTTACTACTAAGTAGTAGCAAGCCACTACAAAGTAGCAAGCTACTATGCCAAGAAGCACGGTCCATGTGCACCCGAAAGGCTGGACATATTGACATAGCTGGCCAATCCACGTCAATATAGGTCTGGGCCAGATGCCATCCTGACTAGTATGGAAGACACCCGGTGAAGCAAAGTTCTAAAGCATAACCATCCATAACGCCCAATAAGCACTCGAGAGCACTTGAAACGGGCGTTTGGGTAGGGTTCGATTCCCGGCTACGGAATCAGGGCTGAAAGGCTTGCCAGGCCAATCACCCGAATTTAGGATACAGCGGATTAGCCGCCATCCAGCCAACGCCTCGGCACGATGGGGGACGGGAAGCCTTGGCGTTTGGGGGAATGGCCGACTACGGCCCTAATATCGCCGACTACGGCGGATTAAATAGAAGGAGAGGCCCTTAGTATGGCTAATGCTACGGGGGGGGGAATTAGTAGCGGTGGTGAATCGATCCACCTGCAGGGTCCCTCCGTCGGCAGCAGCAGCAGAGACGATACCTAAATACCTAAACACCTAAACAAATACACATTAAAACGAAAATTTAAAAAAAATACGGAAGGGGGGAAGCCAGTCATTAGTGGAATGACTGACATGGTCGTAAGTGGTACGACTTTCCCCCCGGAAAAAAGAGATGGTTGGTCCTAAACGGTAGGACCGAGAAAAAAGAAAGAGAGAGAGAGAGAATCTCAAGTGGTGGGATATAGAGGAGAAAGCCGCTAGTGGTACGGCAGGGGGATCAGTCGACTGATAGAGAGAAGGGACAGTCGTAAGTGGTCCGACTGGGGCAGAAAGGGGGAACGGGAAGCCGGCGTTCCCCCTGAACAGAAGAAGAGATGGTCCCAAACGGTAGGACCAAGAGAGAGAGGAAATCCCAAGTGGTGGGATATTGAAGGGGAAGCCGTAAGTGGTACGACTGGTGGAAGTGAAAAATAATAATAAAAATAAAAAAACTTGGACCTGACCAAAAATTACCTAATATCCGACGATTTTGCTCCTTCCTCGCGGCTTCTTCGATCCGTCGCCTCCGATTAGATAAATTCGATTAGATCCATTCAATTCAAGATGCCTGAAATGATCCGAGTTATTCTGATGGACTGTGACTCTCTTTACCTTTCGAATCCGCTTCCTCTTTCGTCATTCCCCATTCTTGCTCATCTTCACGTGTTATGTCTACTCATGAATGTGGGTTTAACGTCGGCCTGGACGCAACACTGCAGTAGGGTTAGTACTGGCTGACCGAGTCGCACCAGTCGAGAATCCCCGACACATTCGACATAGCACATCAGATGAGCTGTAATGAGCAACGACTGTGGGGCTCATCGGATCTGCAATACAAGGAATTGAGAAGGATTGCGATGAATGTGACATACCGTGTGGATCCGTGGCCATGACAAGCCCGTCAGGACATGCGAGGCACGTGGACCCCGCAGGTTATGCGGGAGCACGTGGAGCTCGCACGATTTGCGGGGGCTCGTGAAGCCGGCAGGTTATGCGGGACACGCGGAGCCCGCAAGATAGGCGGGCTTCCCGCAACTCGAGGAGCTGCGAGAACTGACGAAACTGCGCATTCGCCGTCCTTTTATAGTGCCACTGGGGTCGGTGCACAGTTTGCAATAGAGCGCATTTGTCGAAAAAGAACTGCAAATTGATGCCAAGTGTCCATTGAGTCTCTCGTGTTGGCACACTCTTTCCTATCAGACGCGCTTTCCCGATCGACGCTGAAGTGCTGTGGAGCGCGCTTGCCTCATGAAACAAACAATCGCAAGGGCGGGGCTTGGATTTTTGCTGGCTACAATGTAGCATTTTGGCGCGTAAAAATAACCGATTAATTAGGCATCAGTTTTTCAATTAATTGACTTCTCCTTGAATTCAATTCCTGGAAACAGAGTTTGAAGGAGATTCGTTTGAAATCATGGTCCGAAATTTTATTTTTTCGTTGCTGAATTCTTCTAAACTTGCAGCATGAGCTTCAGAATTCACATTATTTTAGAACATCGTAGACGGTAATTACATGCATATGTATGTAATAGTATCTCTGGTAACTCAAAACCAATTTCGGCTCCGGAATCAACCTTATTGTAAAATTGTCGGATAAGTTTTTTTTTTCATTACGAATCGTATTCGACAAATTAATTGGCTTCGTTGATTTTCTCGCACAGAAACCGATTTTTCGCTATCAAATCGCCCATTTTCATTAATTTCCAATCACCCCGAATTTTAAGCGCCATTCACTATTACTTTGAATTGGTTAGATGTGGTTCAGATGGTTTCCGTTGATAATAATTTTGAGTATCTCAAAATCGGCAAAAAATGCCCATATTGGTGTCGATCTTGAGACGTTTTAAAACGCTTAGTGATTGGGGAGTCCGAATTTTTGAAAATTTCAGAAATTGGATCATTTTCATTGGATCTTGATGATCCTGCTCGTCACAATTATTCAATTAATATTTTCAATTTTTTTCACTTTTCAACATTCTCATTTGCATGATTCTTTATGTTAAACAGTTTTTTTTTCAATGTTTAAAAACGTCAAAACTCTTCGAAGTTCATCGACGATCGGTTCACGAGTGCTTGAAAAAATTAAAAAAAAAAAGCAAGCGTGGGCAAAAGCCAACATTAAGCGTCACACCTATATCAGAATCGATTTATTATCAAACGACGATTGGGTGTCCAACTCGTCATCATCCTCAAAATAATTGCCGGCAATTGGAGAATTATAACCATCAAGTGAATATTGCTCCAAATACCTGCAATTAAGGAAAAATAATTCAAAATCAAAATGAAATGGTTCACCTTTGTACCGCATCAATATTCTCAATTTTTCTGCTTTTAGATAGTTAATTGGTTAGCTAATTAACACCTTACCGAAATTCCTCGTGTTAGAAGCTTCTCCAAATAGCTCTTGTTCGACTTTCGTTTTTCGCTATAATGAATCTTCTGATTTTTTGTCTCAATAAAATTTTTCCTAATGTGTTTTACACGTTCTAATTTTGTTATATAATCACTATACCGATACTTAAAGATGTTTCAGATCGATTGGTCAACTTTTCGAAAAGTTATGATCAAAAAAGAGAAATGGTATTCATTGATTAAAATAAGGTTTTTATACAAAGCAAGAATTGAAAATGAATGTTGTTGGCACACAACTATTGAATTGACTTTCAGGTGTTCCGCGAGGAAGACAATTTGATATCAAACAATGCCCCCTATTTATTTATTTTACGATTGCTCGTTTTTTTTGCAACCGCAAAAATAATATATAATTTATTCACACTTCCGCATTTTGCTTGTCCAAAATTTCAAATTCCGCCCACTTCTGCTCTCGGTGCAATTCGAACAATTCGCTTCAGATTCCATTCTATCCATAGTTCAGCTTTTGCCGAAATCGGTTTCCGACGAAACTCGTCGAATTCCATTCATCCTCATCAGATTCTCAACACCTAATTTTTTTCTGTTGTCGCAATAATTCGACACTGATGTCTCGCCGACTGATATGCCTCGTATCCCTTATTCGGTCATTGGACAAGTTGCAGCGTATCGTCTGCCACTTTTTCCTTCCAATTTTGCGCGTTGTTCGAACGCGATTCGTCGTCTTCTTCTTCTTCTTCTTCTATTCTTTATGTCACCTACAGTATCAGGTTTTCGGGCCTGCAAATTTTGTGTAGTTGAGATTAAAATTTTCAAAAGCGCTATTTATTGAAAAAAAAAACTGAAGAAGCGTTTTTGTTTTACCAAAAGAACTTCTAAGCCATAAAAATCGAACTTTCCCTCTCAATTTAACGAAGAATTATCAGCTAGCATTATTATGCATAGTTAATATGGCATTTTATCAGCAAATTTGCATGATGCCGATATCAGAATGGTGGCTGCTGACGATTTCGAAAATCTTCCAAAATAGGTTATCCGATTTATGAACCTACCGTATACCAACTTGATTTATTGCTATCAATGGGGGGTGGGCTTTGAGTATCAGCGATAAGAAAACATTTGTGGTGGATGAGTGTTTGATTTTTGCGCTTTTTCGCTACGTTACATTTATTTTTATTTATGTTCCTTTTTCAGTCCGGTCCGGTCCAAAGTGGAATTGTTCATTGATCTACAACTGATTCTTTTTCAATAAATTTTCTCTAGCCTTTAATCGCAGAATTAAATTTGATGTTTGTTCAGAATTAGACAATGACCCATTTCAGCTGCGGACAACTCGCGGGAGTCCGCCCCCTCTTTTTCAATGAGTTTATTCGTGAAATCATGTTAGTCTAAACATTTCCAGTATAATCCTTCGTACAAATATCGATGATCGGCTTGTAGATCATATCGGAAGCGCGTAGACCCCACGTGAAATCGAGATGATTGAAGTCGGGCAAATGATTGTTTTGCTGAAATTCGCAAATTTGTGTTCTTCTTTGTTACCTCTCTCATTGATCATCAACCAACCACAATGACATCAGGATTCAAATGGGTGAGAAGGAATTCGGTCACGTCGGCAGTATCAGCCAGCCAATCGGCATCGCTCCAGTATAGATAGATTTGTGTTCCTTTGATCGCCGAGAAGTCGTAGAGCGGCGGATTGGCCTGAATCGAATCCCAGAATGCGTCGCCACCTTCCATCGCCCACCTGTCCGTACTTCTTCTTGTTCTCCTTGCTTCCCCAATCGTACGCCGGCACCGCTCCGTGCCGAACCATTTGCATCCAATGCACAATGTTTTGTGTCGATGTGCCCGCCGGATCGTGCGACGCGTACACGGGAACTCTTGTCTGCGAATCGACGATTGTCAAAAATCGAATTGAAGCCAACCAACCGAATTCCATTGATCGCTCTCGGGACCGGCGATGAGGAAGAGCACGTTGTCGCACAGCTCCGACTCGATTTTGAGGCCTCCGCAAATGTCTTTGGCGGCGAGCTTCATCGCCCAGTTGTTGGGCAGAAATTCGCCGGAACCGAAAATGTCGAACCATCCCTGAAATTTGAGATGGAGATCAAATCGAACGCATGTGTTACATCGAATTCTGGTCGGAAATAGTGCGCGAAGAACGACAAGAAGCCCTTGATATGTTTGACAGCTCCGACCGGAGCCAACGCGAAAAACTTTTTGATCTTCTTCGCGAAACTTCCATCGTCCTTCGACAGATGCGAGAACATTGTCAGTGTGCCTTGCGAGTGTCCCATGTAGTAAACGCTGTCCTGTCCGGTGACCTCCAGCACGTGGCCGATCATCGCTTCGAGATCGTATTGCGCCATCTCATCCCAACTGAACTTCCAGAACGACTCGTGCGATGGTTTCAGGTTCTTGTGCTTCTTCGAATAGGTGTTGCCGCGCATGTTGCCAAGCCACACGTCGAATCCGGCGTCGGCGAATAGAAACGCGGCGCTCTCGTCGGGCAGATTGCTGACCCAATCGCTGCTGGCGCAAAGCAGACCGTGCTGCATGAACATCACCGGCTTCTTGCCATTCGGCCACGTCACATTTGCTGGAAATCAACCAATTTTTCGATGGGAATTGCTTACATTCAACGATGCCGACTTTTGCCCGCCGGGATCCGATGAAGCTCGAGAATGTAGCCATCCTCGGTGGTCACCGTGTAGATCAACGCTGGATATCCCCAACGAGTGATGATTTGAGGCTAGAATTCCCAATAGAAAGGACCCCTACGATTCACGCCAAAACCACTTACCGTATCCATGTGCAATTCGGGATCGCTGTGAGCCGACACATAGTTGGCGGCAACGCACAAGCCGAGAGCGATGAGAATTCGCATGATTGATTGTGTGGCGTTATCGCTCGCAAACCGACTACTCGAATATATAGGCGCGTTGATAATTTTTCCATTTTTTTTTGGCGAAAATGTTTGAGCCCAATTTTCGGTCAGAACACGCGGAAGATTGGCGATAAGAAAGAGTCCATGTGACATAAACTTGTGTATTATAGTATGTTCAAAAATAAAAAAAGAACTAAAAACCAATGTGCAAAGAAAAAAATGCGATCCAGTGGTGTGTCTTGTGCTTAGCAATTCAGTATTCCAGATTCTGTAGTGGCGAGACCCAATTTGGGATTACGGCAACTCCTAAAATTGCCATTGGATGATTCATTTCACATGATTGATATTTTTTGAAATCATTGAAACAAGAAATTTCTCTACCAGAAAGTCGAATCCTCCACATTTTATCGCTTCATTTTTCCCCCAAAAAAGTCCAAAACCTAACGTCATTGATATGAGAAGGGAAATCGTCGTATAAAAGAAAGAAGATCAGTATCATTGGTTGCGCGTCGTGTCCAGTTTTGATTCTTTGGTCGAAAATTTATGTTTGGATTTTCAAGGCGGCACCAATTCAAGCCAAACGATGAAGCTTTCAAACGACAAGTTTGAGTTAATGTGCATTTCGATGCTCGGATTGGGCCAGCTATTCATAATGACCGGCAATGATTCACTGGTAAGACGATTTATTTAAAAAAAATGGTTTTTTGAGAATAGCAAATTCAATTTGGATTCGTTGGAAATCTCAAAATCCATTCTGAAATTGTTAAAAATTTATTTCAAAATTGTTGAGTTTTCAAATTTAGTTTTTTTTTACAAAATTCTACGTAGTTTTTTTTTGTTGGAAATCCCATTTTTAAAAATACAAATTTTTGCTTTAACATTTCCATTCGAATGAACTCGGTCCCTACCTGCGCAAACTTCTAGTTATCGAGATATGGACCTTCAAAGTTTTAGCCCTTGCTTTGCCCATGTGAATTTTGCATACAAATGTGAGCTGAAACCCACAAAACCGTATAAGGGACCAATTTGAACTTTGGTTTAGCACCCCCCAAAAAGTATGAAGACGACGAGAATATATCGATTTGAAAAATATGGTCCTATTTAAAAAAAAAGGAAATAGGAAAAATTGAAAACTCATAAATTTCCGATTTCCAACGAATTCCATTATCATTTCCTAGGTTGTCTAAAAATTTCATAAAATTCCTCGCTCAAAAAAGGAAAGAAATCGGCGAATGTTGTAGGCATTCCTTCTGGAATCTGTCGTCCACTCAATCAACGAACGTGAGCCAGATCGGATCGATGCGCACGCAGGATACTATGGGTAACAGAATAATCAAATGAAAAGCAAAAAAGCCGAAATCAGACTTGCCGTCCTTTATTTTTTCTACAATCTCACATGCCTATTCTCGCCGTCATTTTTGTACGCGACGAGCGCGAAAATCACACTGTTCATCTCATCGGTGTTCTTCACAACTCTTCCCATCGGATTCCTGTACATGAACAAATACTACTTCTACTTCTCGTGCGCCCTCAATGGCGTCGGATTTGCGTGTAAATGACGCCCAAAAAAAATTGTCCAATGTCTCCAATTTTTCTAGTGTATTATTCGGGAAATGGCGGCTATCTGACGTCGCATTCGAGCCGCAAATCGATCGAGTCGAACGCGTCGCTCTACTGGTCGTTGGCGAGCACTTGCATGATCGTTGGCTCCGCCATCATATTCGTCATCACCTATTACACGGCTGGACGAGAATTGCCGTCGGTTGGCGTCAACTCGACGGCTCTCGTTGAACACGAGAACGAGCGTCGGTTCAGCGACAACGAAATGTGAGAATGACACGACAAGGCGAAACATGAGCGACCAATATTCAGATATTTGCTGTTCGGCGTGTTCACGGCTGTGTCGGTCCTCGGCAACATCATGTTCCTGTTGCTTCCGTCGCGCGATAGCGAGAATTGCATTGAAAGCAGCCAGAAGACGGTCGCGTTCTCCGATGGCCTTCGTAAGAATTTTTTGCCGGGCTCAAATTCCGATGCCTTGATTTCAGATCGTATGTATCGCGCGATGCGATCCCCAAAAATGATCATTCTGATTCCAATGTTCCTCCTAATCGGAGTGAACACCTCATTCTGGGTGTCGATCTATCCAACAACACTGATATTCAACAAGTCCAATCGTCAGTTGATCTACCTTCAAGCGTTTTATAGTTTCGGCGTTGGCTCGGGCGAACTTCTTAGTAATTGTTGAATTCACCAAATCGCATATCAGAAATAATTCAGTGGGAGTTTTGATTTCTCAATTGAGCAAGAGAATCAAAAATTTTGGACTTCGCCCGACGTTCTTCATCGGATGCATTTTCACACTTGCTTATTGCTTCATGGTGCTTCTCACGACGCCAATCAGCTCGCCGATCCATCCAACCAGCGAGCCGCCTCTTCTATTCCAACCGACGAACGGCATCGTGATTCTGATCGGAATTCTCGGAGGCATGGGCGATTGTTGCACGAGCAGTGTGCGGAGTGTCGTGTGCGCGATCAACATGCCGAATCGGCGGGATCAGGCGTTCGCGGTCTCCAAATTCTTCCAGGTTCTTCAAGTCGTACATTCGGCAAATCATTCATCGATTTTCTAGAGTTTCGGAACCGGCATCATGTTCTTCCTCAGTCCATTTCTCAATCTCTACTATTACGTCATCGGTGTGCCGATTCTCTACATCATTGCCGGATATTGCTTCTACCACGAGTCCGCTCGAATTCAGAAGCTTGAAATGGCGGTGACGATGGAAATGGAGCAGAAGGAGCAGCAGAAGCGCGCGAAAGAATACAAACAATTTGATTAATTGCATAATTTTAATTGGTGTGATTCCACGGGTTAATTATCCAACATGGACGAGTCACTTTTTGACGAATTGACGGTTCAATCAAAATTTTTATGAATAAATTTGAAACAAACTCGATAGAATTGTGCTCCATTTCATCAGAATTTCATCTTTTGACCAACAGAAAAAATATCATTTTCATCATTCTGCACCCAAATATATTCAAATTTATGGGCACTTCGGTACATAAATATTTTTCATCCATCGGTCTGCACGTAAGTGTTCAATGCTGTTGAAGTTTTTCCAGACAATTCGCGCTTTTCAGTAATGAACACCGCAAAATATCAAATCGTTTGCGCAGCGATTCTCGGCTTCGGACAACTGTGCATTATGGCCGGATTTGACGCGGAGGTGGGCTTTTGCTCAATGTCGCCTTGAATTGCGTCAACTTTTAGAGTTTCATTCTGGAATCGGTGATCCATTCAATCCACGAACGCAATCCGTCGCTCATCTCACAATATGCCGGATATTACGGGTATGTCCAGCCATCGTTCCAATATTCTCCAAAAAATCGAAATTCCGATTCAGGCAAGCGATCTGCTATGCTGGATACATGATCACCTGCCTATTTTCCTCGTCGCTCATCATTATGACAAATGCCAAAACGGTATTATTCACATCAGCTGTGTGTTTCGCTATGTTCCCCATCGGCTTCTTCTTCACCAATCAATATTATTTTTTTGTCTCAAGCGCCATCACGGGAATCGGATTCTCGCGTATTCGAATTCCCAGCAAATCCCTAATTCGTGTGTTGTTCAGTGTTCTACCAAGGCCAGGGTTCATATATGGCGTCGCACTCAACGCGAAACACCATCGAGTTCAATGATTCGGTCTCGTGGTCGATTGGATGTTTTTGGTGAGAAATTGCTAGCAAAACTAAATGCATGGCATATTGATTAACAGCTTGATCGTCGGATCGTGCATTATCGGAACAATCACGACATTCACAGCGGCTGAAATTCCAGTACAAGATGTTCTGATGAATTCGACATTGGCGAAAGTTGAAAGAAGATATAGTGATACGGAAATGTAAGAGAAGAAGCTCTCAAATCTCAAATATTTGGGAATTCAGAACCCTTCTATTCGGCATGTTCGCTTTATTCTCCATTTTGGGAAGTATATTTTTCGCCTTTCTTCCCTCTGAAGACGTTGATGGCTGTATTGAGAGTGGAACGATGCACGGAACACCATTCGACGAATTTAGTGAGTTATGAAGTCGTGGATCTGACTCCTATATATTATTTGAATTGCCGGCTTGAGTCTCACTCTGAGAAGCAAGTTTTGATCAATTCAACCATCCAAATGAGATTGAGAAGAATTTTTTTGAATATTAACAACGAGAACATTTCCTTTTACGGGGGACCAATTAATTGGAAGCCCGCGCAATTCAAACTTCTCAGAAGCGACATGTGCGACGCTGATCGAGCCGCAAATGCTCAAATTGTTCCCTTTGTTCGCACTTTGCGGCGCCAACATCTCATTCTTCCTCTCGATTCTGCCAACAGCGTTCCAGTTCAACATGAACAATTCCGGGATGATCTACCTGCCGGCGATTTATAGTTTCGGTGTCGGAATCGGAGAGATTTCAAGTTGGCTCGAAATTCGCTTTATCAACAAACCGCCCCCGTTTAGGTATATTTTTCGGCCTTCTTCCCTCTGAAGACGTTGAGGGTTGTATTGAGAGTGGAACGAAACGCGGAACACCATTCGACGAATTCAGTGAGCTTCTTGATACATAAAAAAGGATAATACATATATGGTATATAGAAGCGACATGTGCGACGCTGATCGAGCCGCAAATGCTCAAATTGTTCCCGTTGTTCGCGCTGTGCGGTGCCAACATGTCATTCTTTCTCTCGATTCTACCAACTTCATTGCAATTCAATATGAATAATACGGAAATGGTGTACCTATTGGCTATTTATAGCTTCGGCATCGGAATTGGCGAAATTCTAAGTAATTATTGGTATTATTGAAAAATTGCATAGAGAATATCAAATTGGGACTAAAACAAATTCAATTTCATGGCTACATAATTTGATTGAAAATATTGAGAAACTCGCAGAATCACATGAGCCACTCTATTTTTAGAAATTATAATTTTGAACTAGCCGAAAATAAGAATATTCAAAAGCTCAAATAATTGAAAAAAAAATCATAATAGTGTTTTTTTTTTTGGCCAAGCAATGGAAAATTATATAACTTTATGTATATGGTAATTGGTTCATCAATTCGTATAAAAATAATGAAGGCGCGAAAAAAAATATATTCACGAGAATTCCCACTAGATTTGTCATTTTCCAGTAATATGTGCATATAAAAAAAATAAACTAGAAAAATTCAGCGGGCTTCTTCATATCAGCAATGAGCAAAAAAATCAAAGATTTCGCCCTTCAACCCACATTGAGCATCGCGGTCGTCTGCTTGTGCACCTATTGTGGTTTGGTGTTGGCGTCGACACCATACGATGCACCAATGAGACCGACTCATGAGCAGCCCCTACTATTCCAGCAATCGTAAGGAATGGATGAATTGAAGGTGAATTCGGGTCGATGAGTTGCAGGCAATTGTTCATTCTCATTCTCGCCGTCATTATTGGAATTGTTGATAATTGCATCAACACGGTTCGCGGTGTCATTTGCACACTGTCGATGCCGAGTCGGCGAACTCAAGCCCACGCGATTTCGAAGCTCATTCAGGTGAGTTGTAAGCTGCGCGACTCCCAACTGGATTCTCGAAATTCAGGCTGCAACATCATGTGCATTGTTCTTTTTGAGTCCATTATTGAATATTTACTATTACACAATTGGCCTTCCAATATTATCATTGATAACCGTCTTCTTGTTCTTCCCAGTGTCGCGAAGAACTCAAAGAATGGAGCGAAAAATCACGACGGAGAATTTGTCGAAAGCATCGGCAAGGGTCTGATAATCACCGAATTGTTCTGTATATATGGAATAAACATTATTTTCAAACTGTAATGTTCAAAAAATATTCGCATTTATTTTTTCGATTCCAAACAATCAAAATTATTCAAATTTCTGGTCGCATTCCGCTGCCCACTCTTCCAGTTCCGTCTTCTCACAGCCAAATATTTTTTTGGTGTCACCTCTCGTCACAATGAAGCCGAAAACGTATGAGATTCTCAGCGCTGCTGTGCTCGGCTTCGGACAGCTTTGCATTCTGACCGGATACAATGCAGAGGTGAGTGAGAATCGAGAAGCGAGATTCAATATGCACATCACGAATATTCCATTTTCGCCGAAATTTTCTAAAAAGTAAAAACGTGAAATAAATTTTAATTTCTTTCTTTTTTATTCACCCCATTCAGTGCATTTCGACCACCTATGTATAATATTGTGCATAACTTTGCTCATTGTCAAAATTTTGACATTGAATGGCAGGATTTAAATTTGCATATGTGTACCAGTTAGTACCTTGCTTTCTACCGTGCCACAAAACAGTTCATTGGCAATTGATTTATTCCTAAACTTGGGTAATTAAGTCTAATAATAAAAAGAAACGAAACGGCAAAACAAAACAACGATTAAATTATGGGACCTCAATAAATCACACGACGCATGGTAGTCAACAAGATAGTCAATTCCTGGGCGAGCACACACGGAAATGTGATAATAAGAATGAAATAAAAATGATTTAATAGAGTGGATGAGCGGAGCGAAAAATCGATTGCTCGTCACTTTCCCGTGTGGAGTACACCGGCCCGAGTCAACCACGGCCATCTGCACGTCGGCCACGGCCACTTCTTTTGCGCCAATGGACCAAATCCCAACATACCAATTTTTAGATATTAATGCCAAAATCGTTTCACATTTATTAATGAACGGTCAGAAATTCTAAAAGAATCGTACCAAAATGAGTTGTGTGCTTCTCCTATTTTGGGCAACAAATTGCCCTTTGAATACATGATAATTATCAGGGCTTCATTCTGGAATCGGTGATCCATTCAATCCACGAACGCAATCCGTCGCTCATCTCACAATATGCCGGATATTACGGGTATGTCCAGCCATCGTTCCAATATTCTCCAAAAAATCGAAATTCCGATTCAGGCAAGCGATCTGCTATGCTGGATACATGATCACCTGCCTATTTTCCTCGTCGCTCATCATTATGACAAATGCCAAAATCGTGCTTTTCATTGCTGCAATCTGCTTCACACTATTCCCCATCGGATTTCTGTTCACCAATCAATATTATTTCTTCATCTCATGCGCGATTAATGGAATTGGATTCGCATGTATGTGGTCTTGTCTGATTTCAGAGTTTCCAATTCATCATATTAAGTATTCTACCAAGGGCAAGGTCTTTATTTGGCATCGCATTCAACGAGAAACTCAATCGAGTTCAATGTCGCAGTTTCATGGGCTATTGGAAGCTTTTGGTATGGTTTTATATAGATTTTCAGGTGCCAAGAATCGTTCGATCTTTTTTAGTTTTATTATTGTAACGGGAATTACCAGTGTGATAACATCGCTAGCATTTGATGATATTCCACTCCAAAACGATATTTCGTCGAATTTCACAAATCCAAAATTTGAAAGAAAATATAGCGATAGTGAAATGTAAAGAAGAAACTGAATCGAGCGATCAAATTTCTGGCGAATTTCAGAACATTACTTTTCTCGGTTTTTGCTCTAATTTCCGCGTTGGGATGCGTGTTCTTCGGGCTTCTACCCAACGAAGACGTTGAGAATTGCATCGAAAATAGTAGTGCAAAGCATGGAAGTCCATTCGAACAATTCAGTAACAAAATCGAAATGGTCAATGAGGAAAAAAATCGAAACTTCTAGAAACAACGTGCAAAACGCTGATCGATCCCAACATGATCAAGCTTTTTCCTCTCTTCTGCCTCGTCGGCTCCAACATCTCATTATTCCTCTCGATTCTTCCAACCTCATTCCAATTCAATAGGCATAATTCGCATATGATTTACATCCCTGCCGTTTATAGTTTCGGATTAGGTCTTGGCGAGATTCTGAGTAATGATTGAGCTCCTCCAATCATAAATTCCAATGAGAATTTTCAGTGGGAATTTTCATTTCAATCATGAGCAAACGCGTCAAAGACTTTTCACTTCGTCCAACATTGATTGTAGCCGTCGTCGGAATATTCATCGATTCTACTATTATTCTAGCTTCAACCCCATATGATGCTTCAATGAGGCCGACAAATGAGCATTCTCCAATAATCAACCAATCGTAATCGTTCTTATATGTATACATTGAAATCCCGTTTTCTTCTAGGTACTTTATTATAATTCTTCTCGGCTTCATCCTCGGAGTTGTCGACAATTGTCTGAACACGGTTCGCGGTGTCATTTGCACACTATCAATGCCGAATCGGCGATCTCAAGCCCATTCTGTGTCTAAGCTGATACAGGTAGCCGAATTTTTTGAGTAATACAGCTAGAATTGTTTTCAGGCGGGCACGTCTTGCCTAATATTTTTCCTGAGTCCCTCATTGAGCATTTATTACTACACAATTGGCTTCCCAATTCTCGGCGTTCTAACCGTCCTCTTGTTCTTGCCGGTGTCGCGACGAACTCGAAAAATGGAGAGACGAATCACCACCGAGAATTTGTCGAAAGCATCGGCAAAAGTTTGACATTCACACATTTTATTTCATTATCAATTCATATAAAAATAATGAATCGCGGAAATTTTAATGTGAAAGTTTTTATGGTATCACATCGATCATATAATCATATAAGCTGATTTCTTCAACACCAAACAACACAGAAATATCATCATTTTGTATTTTTTGGAATCAATATTGTATATGTATAGAGAGTCCATTCCGACCAAGATTTCTCTCAATCGAACTCGCATTATCAACATTCCAATGTCATCATCATATAATTTATTCCATTTTTGTCATCGTACAATTTCGTTCCCTTGAATAAAAGGATAACCAAAGATTCCACCATTCATGAAATGAGCACGAAACAATATCAGGTTTTGTGCTCAGTGGTCCTTGGCTTCGGACAGCTTTGCATCATGACTGGCTTCAATGCAGAGGTACGAAGTGGTCCAACACAAAAATGGAACCTTTAAAAAAAGTTGCAGTGCTTCATTCTGGAATCTGTGATTCATTCAATTCACGAAAGGAGCCCCTCTCTTATTTCCCACTATGCCGGCTACTATGGGTATGAAATTAAACAAGTTACCACCCCAAATCGATCATATTTTTTAGCCAAGCCATCTGCTATGCTGGATATATGATCACTAGCTTGTTTTCAGCGTCTCTTGTAACTCTGACAAGTCCAAAAATCATATTATTTGCAGCCGCCGTTTGTTTAATATTGTTTCCCATCGGCTTCTTCTTTACCAATCAATATTATTTTTTCATCTCAAGCGCTTTCACAGGCATCGCATTCTCATGTATCCATTGGTCAGGGAATCCCATTGATTTGCTCGATTTCAGTGTTTTACCAAGGGCAAGGCTCGTACTTGGCAGCCCATTCGACAAGAGACACCATTCAATCAAACGTGGCAATTTCTTGGTCCATCGGATGCTTCTGGTAATTTGAATCATTGATTGTGATCCTCATTTGCTATTTGTCTGCTATTCAGCTATCTTATCGGATCTGCAATTCTTGGAGGAATCACAATTTATTCAGTTGGCGATGTTCCAATCGAAAATGTCATTTTGAATGGAACTTTGACAAAAATCGAAAGGAGATATACAGTGCGTTGCAGAATTACAGGGTGCGGCAAAATTACGGGTGCATAGATAAAACGAAATAACTTTTTTTAAAAATCAACAAAACTCTTTCAAATTAATACCAAAATTTATTCAACACGTAACAATCACAAATTAATTATTGTTGTTCGATTCTTCCACCTTGATTCTTGGTAAATTCCTTTAGACGCTTCGGATAGGCGTCGACGGTGGCACGCAGGTATTTGGCGTCCAATTTGTCCCATTCCTTCAGAAGGGCAGCTTCAATGAGTTCACATTTGGGTGTGGGAAAGCTGACACCTTCTCTTGCAAGACCCCCCAGACAGAATAGTCCATGGGGTTCAGGTCGGTCGACGAAGCGGACCAATCCGTTGACTTGATAAATGATGGAAAATGGCTGCCGCACCCGTCTTGAACAATATTGCCTCGTTGTGCAGGCGCTAAGTCTTGTTGAAAAGTCCACGACCGATTTCCAAAGTGAGATTGGGACCAAGGAGGGAAATTCTTTTTCAGGATCTCATTAAGATTGTCATTTTGAACAATCTTCACTCCGGGATCAACGAAATCAGTGGTGTCTTGCCGTCAGCGCAGATCCCACCGAATACCATGATCTGCTGAGGATGGGAAACACGATGAATGGTTCTGCTTTTGTTCATAGCTTCTTCAGACCTTCTGGCGATCACTCTGTGGTTTTGGAGATTGAAAGCAGCTTCTACCGTAAACAGCTTCTCATCCATGACGAAAGTCGTTAGGCGTTTTCCTTGCCGCGTGCCAGCTAGGAGCGATTTGCACTTCTACATTCGACCTTCTTTATTTTTTTCAGTTAGAATGGCGGCTTTTCTGACACGATAAGGTATCAGGTTCAGCTCATCTTTGGCAATTTTTCCCACTATCTCGGACTCACATAGACTTCTGACGCCATCTTTCTGATGCTACGATCTGGATTTCGACGAACTCGTACCATGATGACCTTGACTCGCACCGGTGTTATTGAAGAAAGTTTTCTTCCTCTTCTAGGATGGCTAGAGAATCCTCCTATCTCATGAAAGCGTTTCAAAGTTAATTGTACGGTGTTGTGGTGAACTCCAAGGATTTTAGAAATCATCTTGAATGATGTTCCCTTTTTTTCAAGTCGATGATGGCCGCACGATGAATACAATCAGCTGTCATTTTTGTAATACGAAACGGATTTTCATGAAACTTTCAGAAAATGATTAAAATGTCATAGAAAATAAGATAAAAACATAAAACTGCACAAAAAATGCGACAGTGCACTATGAGCTTGCGCCAAAGTTATGCACCCGTAATTTTGCTGCACCCTGTATAAGGCCACCCCCAAATTTAAGCGCCGCGCAATGATTTCGATATTTAGAGACCAACCAGTGTGAAAATCGTGTTCAGCATGAAAAATAACCTATATGTACCTATTTTTATGTTAGTATTTTCAAAAGTAACCGCGTAGTGGTCCAAAACCGTTTTTTCGAGCGGTGCAGAATTATAAAGCCACCCCCCATAAAACAAGTTATAAACTCAAAAATAACGACAGTTTAATGTTTAGTGGCACCTCCATTTGAGGTAATTATGTCAGAAACACGGTCTGGCATAGATTTGAAAAGGTTTTAAACAGATTGGGTCGATTTAGATTTGAATTTCTGCTCTAACATCTTCCACTCGACTACGATTTCGGTTTTGAGCTTTCCAACTCCCCAAATTTTCTTCCTTGGCCATAGAGACGCCGTACTAACTCTCCCCAGACGTTCTACATGGGACTCCAAAAAGGAGAACATGCTGGCCAGTCGAGAACTTCCACACTGTGAGACTGAAGCCAGTTCAAAGTAGACCGACTCACATGAATGACAGTATTGTCCTGTTGAAAAAGGACAATAATGACGTCGGAATGGAAGAAGATGGCTCTCAAGAACATTCTGATAATCCGAAGAGTCAACCCTACTCGTCAGAAAAGCCAATTCCAGAAATCCGGCCTCCGAAAACGCTTCCCCCATAATATCATGCTTCCTTCTCTAAAATTGAGTTTTGAAAGCAGGAGGCGATTCTTTCATTACTCGGGCCAGAAACTGTTATAGCCGTCTGGGCCATCCAAATTAAATTGTTTTTCATCGGAAAAAATAACCTGTTGAAGTTTGAATGGTTATTATTCACAATATTCTCGAATGTGAACACCTTGTTCCAATCCGTATTCCGTGTAGTGATGTCGAAATGTTTCTTTGAAAAAATCAACAGAATTTATACCATTTTTCCAGAAAACTTTTATTTGGAATTTTTGCAATATTCGCCGTATTTGGAGGTATATTTTTCGGCCTTCTTCCCTCTGAAGACGTTGAGGGTTGTATTGAGAGTGGAACGAAACGCGGAACACCATTCGACGAATTCAGTGAGCTTCTTGATACATAAAAAAGGAGTAATACATATATGGTATATAGAAGCGACATGTGCGACGCTGATCGAGCCGCAAATGCTCAAATTGTTCCCGTTGTTCGCGCTGTGCGGTGCCAACATGTCATTCTTTCTCTCGATTCTACCAACTTCATTGCAATTCAATATGAATAATACGGAAATGGTGTACCTATTGGCTATTTATAGCTTCGGCATCGGAATTGGCGAAATTCTAAGTAATTATTGGTATTATTGAAAAATTGCATAGAGAATATCAAATTGGGACTAAAACAAATTCAATTTCATGGCTACATAATTTGATTGAAAATATTGAGAAACTCGCAGAATCACATGAGCCACTCTATTTTTAGAAATTATAATTTTGAACTAGCCGAAAATAAGAATATTCAAAAGCTCAAATAATTGAAAAAAAAAATCATAATAGTGTTTTTTTTTGGCCAAGCAATGGAAAATTATATAACTTTATGTATATGGTAATTGGTTCATCAATTCGTATAAAAATAATGAAGGCGCGAAAAAAAATATATTCACGAGAATTCCCACTAGATTTGTCATTTTCCAGTAATATGTGCATATAAAAAAAATAAACTAGAAAAATTCAGCGGGCTTCTTCATATCAGCAATGAGCAAAAAAATCAAAGATTTCGCCCTTCAACCCACATTGAGCATCGCGGTCGTCTGCTTGTGCACCTATTGTGGTTTGGTGTTGGCGTCGACACCATACGATGCACCAATGAGACCGACTCATGAGCAGCCCCTACTATTCCAGCAATCGTAAGGAATGGATGAATTGAAGGTGAATTCGGGTCGATGAGTTGCAGGCAATTGTTCATTCTCATTCTCGCCGTCATTATTGGAATTGTTGATAATTGCATCAACACGGTTCGCGGTGTCATTTGCACACTGTCGATGCCGAGTCGGCGAACTCAAGCCCACGCGATTTCGAAGCTTGTTCAGGTGGCTACTGATGGCTCAACGAGTCCCCCAAATAATTTTGAGTTCTAGGCGGCGAGCTCTTGCACGATATTCTTCATCAGTCCAATTCTCAATATTTATTATTATACATTTGGCCTTCCGATTTTAGCCGTCTTCACGTCCTTCTTGTTCTTCCACGTGTCGAGAAGAACGCAAAAAATGGAAAGAAGGATCACCACCGAGAATTTGTCGAAAGCCGCCGGCAAGTGTTGATAGAGTTTTTTTGTTGTCGACGTCAGATGTCCCATCGATGGCGGGAAATTGAATTTCGCAAAATCGGTATAGATCTACGAAACCTACTCTCTGCTTCGAAAGACGCCATGGCACGTGTCCAATGCTTTTTTTATTCATGTATATCTCGTAGAATGAGCACATTTATAGGCTTGTCTCGTTTAAGACAGCCAACTCGAGTGTTGTCCAATTAAATTTGTATAATTAGTGCTAATTTTGCGTTCAAATTCCGATGAATCCGATTGTTCAGTTTACGCACGCACTCATTTTTTTTCAATGAATTTGTTTTTTGAATAGAGTTAATTTTCTTTGAAACTCGTGGGCAAAAAAAATATTCATATAAATTTCATATTTTTCAGAAAAACTTTTTTTGAATCATCATTTTTTTGTGAAAGTAAATAATAATAAATTTGAAAAAAAAAGGAGGGGAGATTTTTAAAATTTCGAATTTTTCTAATGCATGCGACCTCACAAGATATTATGGTCCCTTTATCTGGGTTCTACGAGGGTTCTAGGACTCAATCTAATGATTGTTTTTTGATTTCAGAATCAGCAGAAAATCGAAAATTGTGTAAATAACGCAAAATTTGTAAAAAAAATCAAAATTCTGAAATTGTTCAAAACTCCATTCAACACTAGATTTTCAATTCTTAATTTTCCGGATTATTATGATTTTTCGAAAAATGTGCTTTCGCTTGATTTTGAGCAGTTTCAGCTAATTTTGTTGCCAACAAATTTGGCTAAAAGCACGTTAGCCAACAAAAACCAATGTTATTGGATCAGAATGCCGCATAAATGAGCGAGTCGCGAATGTTGATCATTGTTTTTTTTTTTCGCTTCTGAATAGTTTCGCGTGTTCCCCACAATGTGCCTTTAAACGTCTACGGTAATCTTTGTTTGAGAAATTTCCCCGAATTCTTCGGCACTTTCCGAGGCCGTGCTCGAATTGGGAAACCGTGAAAATCCGTTTCCAGTATGCACAATACAGTATTTTTCATACGCAAATTATTCAAATGGTTGGAGTATTAGCGCAGTGGCTCGATTTAACGGGTCAATTTTTGGCTGAAAATAATTAAACGAAGAATAGGCTATAAATTAGAATTTTGCGGGTAGGGGATTTTGCCAAAGTCGCACGACTGCGGAAAATTGGCTAAATGCCAAAATACAATAGCAATGGTCTTGACGCGAAACGAAAAGTGGAGATTTACGGAGCCTGAGTACAAGGAAATATTAAAGGCGTACATCGCGCATCGAGACCTCTCCTTCAATTTTTTGGCATTTTGCCAATTTTATATTTTTTTGAAAATGGAAACTAGAAGAATGCATATGTATAGTTTGCATGCTTAGTGGTAGTCGGTGTCAGGCGACTTCTAACAGCACGGATGTAGATTTACGGACATTTCTTTATGACCTTTATTTTCACACAAAATTGATTCTCGTGTTTTGTTTGAATTCCAGAAAAAAACCGTTCAAGATAATTGCGATAGACGCGTTTCCGAAAATTTTGCCTGGAAATTATACAATTCTTATGACCCACTGGAGATGTGCTTAACTGACAATGCTAGAAACCTGCAGCCTCCAAGTTAAAGATTATATAGTCCGGGTAATTTTCAGCCACCCTGTAAAAACCGGAAAAAATGATTACAAAATGAATTTCAGAGATGCGATTTCCAGAAAAAATTTCCAGAAATCGCATATTTGAAGAGTGTATTGTGATGTCAATGGGCGGAATTCCGTCTTCCTCGCATTTCCGCACAACTAAAAACATTTTTAGTTTCAAAGCATTTTTCCAAACCTTCTCACTTTAAATAAAACTGGCCAATTTTATTTTCGGCTTAGACTTTCTAAATTGGTTTTTGGCACCGAGAGCGCACGAGATCAAATTCATAAATCAAATTGTTATAAAGAGTGCCAACTACGGACACAATTTATTCCCCCGCAAAACACAAAATGCTTGAGTGGATTCATCCGTTGAGCACTTAATTAGATCAAACCAATTTTAACTAAACTTATTGATAATTATAGAATTCGCCGGTAATATATTATAAATAATTTCTATAGAATCAACAATCAACATTTTTCACCTGAATTCTAGATTTCTGATTTACCGGAAACACGAAAATGCTTGAGTGGATTCATCCGCTGCTCATTCCAATGGCATTCTTCTACTCATTTGCAGCTCTAATTGGGATTATTGGCAATGCAATTATGATAATTGTCTTCTTCAAATTCAAGTAATTAACTAGATAATTATGATAACATTGTTTTTTTTCCAGAAACCTCCGCTCGCCATGCCACTATCTGATCACTCTCACCTGCTTTGCCGACATGTGCCATGTTTCTGGTCAGATTGTCTTCGTCACTCACTTATTTTCAAACTGTACCATAAGACTTCAATTATTATTCTATAATCTAATCCAATTTCAGCAACAAGTTCCCAATCGAATTGCTTTTATATGATTTTCATACCTTGTATGGGATTATGCCTTGGCAGTCCCCTAATAATGGTGATGGGCATCGACCGAATGATCTGTTGCCAATTTCCGATCTTCTATCGGAACGTTTCAAGTCATCCGATCATCTACACATGTCTCTTATTAATATTTCCATTTGGATGCGCATTTATTCTAATGTATATCGCATATTTGGAAAAGGATCCGAATCCTGAGAAGTGAGAATCGCCTTCAAATCCAACCATACCAAAAATTCCATATGAGTTCAGTCAAGTAGTGTATGTAATCCCAGTGGCGATGCGAAATCGCTCGTTCGAATATTTCAATTATTCCGGCGGCATAATTAATGTGATAATTGTGATATTATACGGATACACCTATTTCAAATTGACGAGCTATTCCGATACTGGAGGTATGTCAATTGAGACTCTGGATCAATCAAGAACCAATCGATTGAAGGTCCCAAAATGCGCTCAGTGTTCAAATCCATCTTGGTCACTGTCATATTCGTCTTGTTCGGCTGGGCGATCACTTTTATTGTGAATTCGATCTCCTATAAAATCACTTCGGACCCCTTCATTTCGTATATTATGCAAATTTATGCAGGCGTTTCTGTCAATATCGCGTTGGTCTGCAATGTGTTCGTCTTCTACTTCATCAAGTAACCTCCCCTTCCGAATTCGGTCTATTTTCCGATCATTCAGCACCGACTATCGCGTTTGCATCAAAAAGTTGCTGCATTGTTCGAATGCCGGCGATTTCGAATCATCCGACAAAATGACAATTTGGAATAGGAATCAGGAAATGGTGGCAACCAAATGAAATCCGCCTGCCTCTTTTTTTTATCAATCGGTGCTTTTCCATTTCTTCGGGAAAACTTTGCTTAAACTTCATTGAGCAACGTTGAATGAGACCATTGAAATCAGCAATCCTTCATATGGACATAATTGAATCATAATTAATAAATTATAACAATTTTATATACATATTATATTATAATAATTAAATTTATGATAGGTTTTTGAACTGGACTGTAGGATTGTTTAGCTGTTGTCAATCTTGGTCATGGTCAATTTTGGCGATAACGATGCAACCGATTGCAAGCGTAATCGCGCATGCTTCGGTTTGTAAATGAACCGCAATGCATATAAAACACCGTCTTGAACTGGCTTCGTGAAAATTATCATGGCGATTGTCGACAAAGAGCCGTGAAACGAAATTGTGAGAATAGCAAAGTAGCCATTCACTAAAATGAATTGGCGTTGAAAAGCGAAAACAATGAATGCGATTTTGCCTAGGGTTTGGGAATTTGTTTAAATTTTAAACAAAACAGTTCGCAAAGTTCGAAAGGGCAATTCTGTAGCGGAAAAGGAATCGAAAAATCCATTGGTCAACCGGAAAACAAACAACGGACCGAATTTGACAATTCGGACTCACAATTGAAATTTTTTGCAGAACAGGGTATACTCGATAGTGATTCTCGCGAACTATTCGAATGCAAAAGCAGAAAATTTCGCAACTGGCAAGCAAACTAAACCTATTCACAAAATGTACTTTTTTTTCAAAAATAGATCTATTCGTGAAAAAAATGCCAAAATTAAATTAAATGCGCATTTTTTACAACCGTGAAATGGAAAACTGCGTAATTTTTTTAGACATTTTTCTTGTATGAATAAGTCCAATTGGAGGCAAAAACTAATTTTTATATTTCTTTTTTCAACGCACTGTAGCCATTTAATAATTATATTTCGGCTCAAAAAAGAACACTGAGGGTGCTTTTTGTGCAATCTGCGCATTTTTTGTGATTTCAATAAAATTGTGAGGGCTCATTTGAGATGGTAGGTCCAATCCCCAGAAAAAATTGAAATTTTTTTTAGACCCTGGTGCCTAAAGCAAAGGCGGTAATGATTGATCGAAAATCGAAAAATTTCATTTTTTTTTCTCGAAAATTCAATTTCTTTCAGTACGAAACGATCACTCCTCACATCGTGCCAGGACCCATGATTTATTCCTTTGACAATATGCCAAACTTACGATAATTATCCAACGTCGACACAATTGCATATATAAAAATGGATACGGGAATCAAGAGCATTATCAAGTGAATTGATCCCTTCAAAAAAATCAATTTTAATTTGTATGTGCCTTTAAAATAGTCTCGCAACAGGTCTCGAAACCCATTTTCAATTGGGTAGAATATAAAAATTGAATTTCAAGGCGCACCGTCGTCGACTCATACCTGAACAGCAATGCTGACGAACAGCATCTTCTGCATCTGAAGGGTCCGCGTCGACATGCTCTTTTTCATTTCGCCGAGTTTTCTCACGATGCCCGTCGTTGTCGTCAAAACAATCAAACTGCTGACGGCGCACAAAAGAACGATCAGAACGACGGTGGTGAAGAGGACAATCTCATCGATCGGCGGCGATATGACGGTGTTGTGGCACAGGATTTCTCTCGAAGCGTTCGGGAACTTCTGCGCGAATCTCAATTCAATGCTACTTCAAAATGCGATGTGATCGTTTACTTCAAACAATTTCTCCTTGTAGAACTCCTGATGTCGAACGCATCTTGGAAGAGCGCCAATTCCCAAAACGGGAAGTGCCAAGGCGAGAAAATAAAACATGTAGAAGAAAATGCGGACGGCGATCGTCGTTTTCGTTTCCTCGTTCATCGCCGCATTGAATCGATATCGGAACATCTCCAATATCGACAATCCGATTTCTAAAACAACTTTTTTTTCAATGTTTCATTTTTCTCTTAAAAACTTACGAACAATTAAATACATTAACAGATAAAATTGCAGGTGGCCGCTGAGGTTCAAATACATCAAAAGTCCGGTGCATCGAAATACTGGATAAGGTAGATAAACCATCGGGAGCATTAGTGTTGATACATAAAGCTCGAATGCAAAGTTTCTGAGGAAAAAAAAATCAATTTTAGCAATATACAGTGCGTTGCGGAATTATAAGACCACCCCCGAATTTGAGCGCCGCTCAATGATTTCGATATTTTGAGACCTCTCAGAAGGCTCTCAAGAACATTCTGATAAATCCGAAGAGTCCACCGAACTCGTCAGAAAAGCCAATTCCAGAAACCAGGCCGCCAAAAACGCTTCCCCATACCATCACGCTTCCACCTCTAAAATTGAGTTTCGAAAGCAGGAGACGATTTTTCCGTAAATCGTGTCAGCAACTGTTATAGCCGTCTGGGCCATCCAAATTAAATTTTTTTTCATCGGAAAAATAACAAGTTGAGGTTTGAATGGTTATTATTCACAACAAGCACCTTGTTCCAATCCGTATTCATGTTTTTGAATGCCAACTCAAGGCGTCGCATTTTATGATCCTCTGTCAGTCGCGGGGCCGGCTTCATTTTTTCTCTAGCGATGATGGGGTTATTCTTGATGGTTCCCCAAACTGTCCACTTGCTTTTGTCGAAGTTTAGCTTCTTCTTGATGTCATTTGTAGACTTCATACTGCTCGAATGCTTGCTCGATTAGCGCGAAAGTCCAGTTTTCATTTGGCGCCTGACTTTTGCGGCATGTTGACACGAGTTAGATCCTTCACAAAGATGTCTACAAATGGTTTCGGATCATTTAAATTCTTCGCAACCCGACGGTTCGACCATCCTGCTGTTTTGAATGCGATAATCTGAGATTGCTCAGAAACACTAAGACGTTGCAGAATTATAAGGCCACCCCCAATGATTTCGATATTTTGAGACCAACCAGTGTTAAAATTGTGTTCAGCGTGAAAAATAACCTATATACGGATAGCTAAATGACCTGCCTTGTAAGACTCTCACCAATTTTTTGGCATTTTGCCAATTATCCGACAATTGTACGATTTCCTCCAAAGTGAGATCTCGAAACATTTTCAAATACATATACAGTACTGGCCATAATGATGTTCGCCTAGTGTTTTTTGAGCATAACTTGGCACAAACGCGGCCGATTGGGCTGAAATTTTTACTGTAAACGCTAAACACAGTTGCGCAACCTTGGAAACGACAAAATTGCATCATCTTGAAAAAAATTTTTTTTTCAATTTTTTTTTTGTTTTTTTCGATTTTACCAATTTTTCATTTTTTTTTCAAACTTTGTCCATAAAAATTTTTTTATTTGAAATTTGAACTTGAAACATGTTTTTAGTAATTTTTCAACCTTCTGGAAAGAAAAATTTCACGGCGGACGTTCAAAAAGCGATCGTCAACGGTCATAAGACTGGCTAACCCAGCAGCTCTCTGGCTCAGCACTACCAGTGCTCCCGAAGAGGAATCCAAAATTTTTGCAACGATTCAGACAAAATTTACGATTTATTATTCATTCTGGACTATTTCTAATCTATATGGCTGCATTTTTGTCAACAAATCACACAGTGGACCTCGCAAAACCACTAGGCTCCATGATCGGAACATCTGCCGTGCTTCGAGAGAAGATCCTAGACGAACTGCAGAAGATATCCAGATGCTTGTGGTAACGCCAAATGCTTCAATGTCATCGAGAAAAACAATTAGACGTCGTTTGGGGGAGAATGGACTTCATGGAAGGCGCCGGCGAAGAAACCATTAATCAGTGAGAAGAACCAAAAGACGAGGGAGGCACGGTGCAAGGATCATCTGAACTGGGGACGATGTGAATGGGCCAAACACATCTGGAGCAATGAATCGAAGTTCAACATGTTCAGAACTGATGTAATAAAGTGGATTCGTCGACCTATCGGAGCCAGATTCATGCCAAAGTACCACCTCCGAACGGTGAAGCATCATGCAGGGTCTGGAGCTGCTTCTCCGACACTGCCATGGGACCGCTCCGACGTATAAATGGAATCATGGATCGGTACCAGTACAAGGATATCCTGGAAACCACAATGAGACCTTGGGAATTGGCAAACGTCTGACGTGCATTCGTTTTCCAGCAAGACAACGACCCTGAGCACATGCTGGACATGTAAAGAAATGGTTCTAACGTCTCCGCGTTGATGTTCTTGCATGGCCATCACAGATTCCTGACCATAATCCGATCGAACATCTCTGAGAAGAACTGGAGCACAGGGTGAGAGGGCTCCGAGCATCAGTCACCGACGAGAAGCTCGCTCAACTCGAAGCCGCATGGAGTGCCATTCCGATGCAGTGATCCACACCCCCTTGGACTCGATGCCTCGCAGATGCCAAGGGTTATTGATGCCAAGGGATACGCAACAAAGTATTGATGAATTAAAAACCGGTTTTCTACACATTTGTAACGTTTTCGGGTTTCTCAGACTTTCAAATCACATTGTGTCATTTTTTCCATTTTCTGCATTTTTATAAAATTTGTGATTTTTCGAAAAAAAAACTTTCCTGCAGTATGCGATATCATTCAAACGCATTTTCAACGCGTTTTAAAGATATGGTAAAAATTTCAGCCCGATCGGCAGCGTTTGAGCCTAGTTATGCTCAAAAAACACTAGGCGAACATCATTATGGCCAGTACTGTATGTATTGTGTGTTTCTGACAAAAAAAAGACTAGCTATATACCCATGGCGTTGGATGCGTTGCGGTACGCGTTGCGGTCGCATCTATTTTCAACAAGGTTTTTTTTTCTTCAAATTCAATTGTTCTCTTTGCAGAATTAATTGAATCAGGATCCTCCAGGAAATCTGCATATATACAAAAAACATTGAACCGCAACGCGGCTAACGACATAGAAATTAATTTAGTTATTTTTTTAGAATAAAAATTTATATTAAGTGTTAAATTAGAAACGAAGTGGTCCTTCAAGTGGCCCAAATAGACAATAAAAAATTGTAGAGAATCACATCCTTTTGGAACCAATGAGAAACTAAACGGAATTTCAATCAAACCGGTTATTTCTATTTTTGGAGTTGCTCTCAAAATTCGTTCCGTCTACAAACGTCAATCACAATCACATTTCAACCAGGTGCCCAGCAATTTTCAACGCGGCTCACATTTGGTGACGAAATCGAGCACAAATTATTCGATTATCGCGCATTTTGGCAGCCGAATTTTTTTTTGTTGAGAGCATTTTGAAAACCAATCGAATCATTATATAATTATTTGTAGATAATGATATTTTTATTGTTCGATGATAGGTGTTTCAATAAAAAATTGTTTGTGGTTGGGAATTTCCAACAAATTTAGAGACCAATAATTTGAGAGGAAGGCCTCCCATGAGATGGTCGGACTCGCTTCGGAAGGAGATCAACAGCTGAAGGAGCCGTTATCACCCCGTGGTCCACTCAAGCCAAGGACCGAAAAACTTGGAATGCTGTGGTTCGTGCCTCAGCATGCAAAAGACGAACCGACAAAGTGACTAAGTAAGTGATATTGAAATCATTATAGCAAATGGCATAGAGGTCTCAATAAGAGAAAATTGGCACTTTTAGCAAAATCAAAACAAGTTGGAGCAGAAATTCGAAAATATTGGTCACTTCCAGATATATTTTAGATCACGAAATCAGCAAAATAAAAACTCACCCAAAAGTGTGCCATAACAAATAATTTTTATAGATCTTCAAAGTCTTCGGCGTTTTCATAATCAATGAATAAAACGACAATCCATATAAGGGAATCGTCAACGAATGCAGTGAGTGCATCAAAATTCTCAAATTTATATTTAATTGGCTTAATTATTTAATTAACAATATGTATTACCTGAATAGTGGAGGAGCCGATTGTAGGCATAGCAAAGGGTCGACGATCGCCACCATTCTCGAGACGACTTCGATTGTCTCGATTAGAAAATTTCGACAAGCGCCGACTAAACCAAATTAGGTATTATTAGATGATTGATGTGTTTGCTCTCTTAGTCGGTGTCGTTTCGTCGAATTCGAAGTTCATTGATCACTTTTACAAAGTTTATCGGCAAGAAATACATAAATAATGATTATTCGAAATTATTCGGCTCACTCCGATTTATGGTCCGCAATCAATCGCTCGTAAAAAATGCCTTCTTGCCGTTTTTTCTATGGCTCATAGCATGAAAAATAACCTATATGTACCTATTTTTATGTTAGTATTTTCAAAAGTAACCGCGTAGTGGTTCAAAACCGTTTTTTCGAGCGGTGCAGAATTATAAAGCCACCCCCCAACAACGGACTTTTTCGCATTTTTTTGAAACTTTGGCGGGACCAGTGTGCATAAAAATTGTTGTGTGGCTTTGAGAACCTACAGTGGTCCTTATTTTTCACTTTTTGAATGATTTTGAAATGCCACGTGGTCGCTGTCTTAGTGCTTCTGAGCAATCTCAGATTATCGCATTCAAAACGGCAGGATGGTCGAACCGTCGGGTTTCGAAGAATTTAAATGGTCCGAAAACATCTTTGTGAAGGATCTAACTCGTGTCAACATGTCGCAAAAGTCAGGCGGCAGAGGAAAACTGGACTATCGCGCTAATCGAGCAAGCATTCGAGCAGCTTCGAGCAGTATGAAGTCTACAAATGACATCAAGAAGAAGCTAAACTTCGACAAAAAAAAGTGGACAGTTTGGGGAACCATCAAGAATAACCCCAACATCGCTAGAGAAAAAATGAAGCCGGCCCCGAGACTCACAGAGGATTATAAAATTCGACGCCTTGAGTTCGCATTCAAAAACATGAATACTGATTGGAACAAGGTGTTCACATTCGAGAATGTTGTGAATAATATCCATTCAAACTTCAACAGGTTATTTTTTTCGATGAAAAATAATTTAATTTGGATGGCCCAGGCGGCCATAACAGTTGCTGGCCCGAGTTATGAAAGAATTGCCTCCTGCTTTCAAAACTCAATTTTAGAGAAGGAAGAGTGACATTATGGGGGACGCGTTTTCGGCGGCCTGGTTTCTGGAAATTGCTTTTCTGACGAGTAAGGTGGACTCTTCGGACTATCAAAATGATCTTGAGAGCCATCTTCTTCCATTCCGACGTCATTATTGTCCTTTTTCAACAGGACAATGCGGTCATTCATGTGAGTCGGTCTACTTTGGACTGGCTTCAGTCTCACAGTGTGGACGTTCTCGATTGGCCAGCATGTTCTCCTTTTTGGAGTCCCATGTAGAACGTCTGTGGAGAGTTAGTACGGCGTTTCATATGGCCAAGGAAGAAAATTTGGGGAGTTGGAAAGCTCAAAACCGAAATCGTAGCCGAGTGGAAGATGTTAGAGCAGGAATTCAAATCTAGATCGACCCAATATGTTTCAAACATTCTCAAATCTATGTCAGACTGTGTTTTCGATGTTATAACCTCGAATGGAGGTGCCATCATGCATTAGACTGTTGTTATTTTTGAGTTTATAACGTATTTCATGGGGGTGGCTTTATAACTCTGCACCGCTCGAAAAACGATTTTGGACCACTGCGCGGTTACTTTTTGAAATACCAACCTGAAATTTGGGACATATAGGTTATTTTTCATGCTGAACACGATTTTCAGACTGGTTGGTCTCAAAGTATCGAAATCATTGCACGGCGCTCAAATTTGGGGGTGGCCTTATAATTCTGCAACGCACTGTATTATTCTCTAGCATCCCAACAACTGGAATAGCTGAAATTGCTGATTTCATATAGTACACTGCTCCACAAGCTTAGCCTTGCCCATATATTTTCAAAAAGAGAATTATATTTTCACGAAATTTCAAAAAACTCTTGTATTGTTAAAGTATGGCTAAAAATAGTTATTTTTAGTATCCCATATTAGATTTACACTTACTGAGTTATTAACCAAAATTTGCTTTATTTTCTGAAAATTGCATTTTGGCGATCCACAAAAGTATAGCCCCACTGGCAAAAAAAAAACACCCTTAAAAACAGAAAATAACAACAGTAACATAACAGAAAATTGGTTTAATAGTCGGATGGCATTTCCAGATTGTGGGCCACTTGGAAGAGTCAGTGTCGATCGATAAATAATGATTGTCAATCAGTTGTTGGTCGTCTTTCTTCCAAGTCTCGATAATCGAAAGTTTCAGTTGTTTTAGATTATCGTATGACTTATTTCATTTGCAAAATTTGTTGGCCATGTATCCTCATACGTTTTCGATGATATTCAAGACCGGGGAGCAAGAATGCCAATCAATCGAGAACCGGAATATTCCTCGCTTGTATCCATGCGATAGTGTGGCGGGCCCGATGAATTTGGGCACCATCCTGCGATACACTTTCATTCTGGGAGCGTGTCGACAGCAGAAGGCCAGAAGCTTACGGCGCGCGCAACAGATATCGATAGTCCGAGCCGCTCATGTTCTTTGCGACGAAGCACAGTTTCACGCGAGTGATCGAACTGATAGATGCCCATACCATGACACTACATTCATAGAAATTTCTCCGTGAGAATCGAATGTGCGGCATCCTAAGATCATGCCCTATCTGATCACTCTCACCTGCATTGCCGACATGTGCCATGTTGCTAGTCAGACTGTCTTCGTAGCACATCTATTATTCAATTGTAGTTTCACTCACTTATCATTTTCATGACGTTTAGCCTCTTCTCAATCATCATGCTTCTTCATTTTGATGGTCCCTTGGTTCTGCGCTTGCCTTGGCAGTCCCCTAATAATGGTGATGGGCATCGACCGAATGATCTGTTGCCGATTTCCGATCTTCTATCGGAACGTTTCAAGTCATCCGATCATCTACACATGTCTCTTATTAATATTCTCCGATCATTTAGCACCGACTATCGCGTTTGCATCAAAAAGTTGCTGCATTGTTCGAATGCCGGCGATTTCGAATCATCCGACAAAATGACAATTTGGAATAGGAATCAGGAAATGGTGGCAACCAAATGAAATCCGCCTGCCTCTTTTTTTTATCAATCGGTGCTTTTCCATTTCTTCGGGAAAACTTTGCTTAAACTTCATTGAGCAACGTTGAATGAGACCATTGAAATCAGCAATCCTTCATATGGACATAATTGAATCATAATTAATAAATTATAACAATTTTATATACATATTATATTATAATAATTAAATTTATGATAGGTTTTTGAACTGGACTGTAGGATTGTTTAGCTGTTGTCAATCTTGGTCATGGTCAATTTCGGCGATAACGATGCAACCGATTGCAAGCGTAATCGCGCATGCTTCGGTTTGTAAATGAACCGCAATGCATATAAAACACCGTCTTGAACTGGCTTCGTGAAAATTATCATGGCGATTGTCGACAAAGAGCCGTGAAACGAAATTGTGAGAATAGCAAAGTAGCCATTCACTAAAATGAATTGGCGTTGAAATTTGCAGTCATGACTGAGCTTCATTGGTCCCTTCGGTTTGCACCAGGATTGTTCGGAAGTGGGATTGACGTGGAAATCAAAAAATTAAATTTTGCCAAGGGTTTGGGAATTTGTTGAAATTTTGCACACAAATAGTTCGAAAGAGCAATTCCGTAGAGGAAAAGGAATCGAAAAATCCATTGGTCAACCGGAAAACAAACAACGGATCGATTCTGACACTTCGGACCCACAATTGGATTTTGTTGCAGATCACGGTATACTCGATAGGGATTCTCGCGAACTATTCGAATGCAAGAGCGGAAAATTTCGCAACTGGCAAGCAAACTGAACCTACTCACGAAATGACTTTTTTTTTCAAAAAAAAATGCAAAAATTACATTAAATGTGCATTTTTTACAACCGTGAAATGGAAATTTTTTTCTTTAACATTTTTCTTGTATTTTCTCTTTGTATATCTTTAACATTTTTCTTGTAAGTCCAATTGGAGGTAAAAACTAATTTTTATATTTCTTTTTTCAACGCACTGTAGCCATTTAATAATTATATTTCGGCTTAAAAACAGAACACTGTGGGTACTTTTTGTGCAATCTGCGCAAAAATATGAAATGTTTTTAGACCCTGGTGTTTAAAGCAAAGGCTGTAATGATTGATCGAAAATCGAAAATTTTCATTTTTTTTTCTCGGAAATTCAATTTCTTTCAGTACGAAACGATCACTCCTCACATCGTGCCAGGACCCATGATTTATTCCTTTGACACTATGCCAAACTTACGATTATTATCCAACGTCGAAAAAATTGAAAAGATAAAAATAAATACGGGAATCAAGAGCATTATCAAGTGAATCGATCCCTTCAAAGAAAATGAATTTTAATTTCGATGTGCCTTTAAAATTGTCTCGCAACAGGTCTCGAAGCCTATTTTCAATTGGGTAGAATATAAAAATTGAATTTCAAGGCGCACCGTCGTCGACTCATACCTGAACAGCAATGCTGACGAACAGCATCTTCTGCATCTGAAGGGTCCGCGTCGACATGCTCTTTTTCATTTCGCCGAGTTTTCTCACGATGCCCGTCGTTGTCGTCAAAACAATCAAACTGCTGACGGCGCACAAAAGAACGATCAGAACGACGGTGGTGAAGAGGACAATCTCATCGATCGGCGGCGATATGACGGTGTTGTGGCACAGGATTTCTCTCGAAGCGTTCGGGAACTTCTGCGCGAATCTCAATTCAATGCTACTTCAAAATGCGATGTGATCGTTTACTTCAAACAATTTCTCCTTGTAGAACTCCTGATGCCGAACGCTTCTTGGAAGCGCGCCAATTTCCAAAACGGGAAGTGCCAAGGCGAGAAAATAAAACATGTAGAAGAAAATGCGGACGGCGATCGTCGTTTTCGTTTCCTCGTTCATCGCCGCATTGAATCGATATCGGAACATCTCCAATATCGACAATCCGATTTCTAAAACAACTTTTTTCCAATTTTTCATTCTGTTGGAAACTTACGAACAGTTAAATACATTAAAAAATAAAGTTGCAGGAGGCCGCTGACATTCAAATACATCAAAAGTCCGGTGCATCGAAATACTGGATAAGGTACATAAAGCATCGGCAGCATCAATGTTGATACATAAAACTCGAATGCAAAATTTCTGAGGAAAAAAATCAATTTTCGCAAAATGGTAAAAAAAAGTTGGCAAAATACGAAAAAAATGATGGTAGCGTTTTGGCGCCAATTGGTTAAAGGCGCACACCCCACAAACTAGGTAGGTCTTTTAGCTCTCCATCTAAATTTTTTAAATTTCTTCCGTCCAGATTCTTTGAAAAATTTGAAATCGATTAATGTAGGCTTCTATTTAGCGAGATATGGACCATCAAAATTAGCCACCCCCCCCCCCTACACTCACAAGAATTTTTAGGTCCAAAATTAGAAATTAAATTCTTACTTACTTAGTCACTTAGGATATCTCGCTAAATAGAAGCCTACATTAATCGATTTCAAAAAAAAAAAAGAAATTAAAAAATATGGTCCACATCTTTGATTACGAGAAGTTTTGGCCTCCATCAATTGATTGGAAATTTGTGCAAAAAAAAAGAAAACATTTCAAGACGGGCAGCTAAATGACCTGCCTTGCATGACTCCTACCAATTTTTTTGGCATTTTTCCAATTTTCCGACAATTATACGATTATTTCCTAATGAATCACAATGAGATATCGAAACATTTTCAAATATATGTATTGTGTGTTTTTGACAAAAAAAAGTATTCTATGACGTTGGATGCGTTGCGGTCGCATTTATTTTCAACAACGTCTTTTTTTCTCTTCAAATTCAATTGTTCTCTTTGCATAATTAATTGTATCAGGTTCCTCCAGTCACTTTAGACATCTACAAAAGAACACTGGACCGCAACGCGGCTAACGACATACATATTTATAGTCGGCGTCCGGTGTACGCGGGGTAGATTTACGCGCATGCGCCTTGAAAAGGTCTCGCCACGCATGAATGCTTATTGTGCTGTTTTCACGTGAACTTCTTCATTTTTCTTGATGAGTTTCACATTTCCTTGAATTTCCAACCGATATTTGATTAAAAATTATCGAACCGGTCCATAAAATTTGAAATAACCTGTTAATCCCTGCGAGACCATTTTCGAAAGACGCATTCCCGTAAAGCAGTCGTCGGACGCCGACTATACACAGAAATTAATTTAGTTACTTCTTTCAAAATAAAAATGTATATTAAATGTTAAATTAGAAACGAAGTGGTAATTCAAGTGGCCCTAATATTTAAACAATAAACAGACTGGAAAAAATTTTTAATCGCAAATTTGGCATTTTAATTTTCAACAAAAAAAATGAAATATTTAAATATAGATTTTGCGCATATTTGACGACTTGATTACCAACATGGCGTAGAATCGCATTCCTTTTGAACCTATGAGAAACTAAACGGAATTTCAATCAAAAAGAGGGCATTTTTTAAATGAAACGAATCATAAATTAATTTGTGCAGTTATTAATTAATTATTAAGTATCAAATTTTGTTTATTTAATTGTTCGATGAACGGGATTTCAATGAAAAAGTGTTAGTGTCCGCCGGTTGGGAAATTCCAACAAATTTTGGGACCAATAATTCAAGAGGAAGGCCTCCAACGAGATGGGCCGACTCGCTTTGAAAGGAGACGGAGACCCTAAACATACAGTGGTCCATTCAAGCTAAGGACCGAGAAATGATTGGGTTCACGTCTCACTAAATGACTGACAATTGTAAATTTCTCAAGAAAACCGCATAGAGCTCTCAATAGAAGAAAATTCGAAACTGGAGCATTACAAAAAAAAAACAAGTTGGAACAGAAATTCGCAAAAAAAATTGATCGAGTCGAGACCATTTTTTTAAATTAATATTTTCACCTACAAAATCACCAAAAAAAACTCACCCAAAAGTGTGCCATAACAAATAATTTTTATAGATCTTCAAAGTCTTCGGCGTTTTCATAATCAATGAATAAAACGACAATCCATATAAGGGAATCGTCAACGAATGCAGTGAGTGCATCAAAATTCTCAAATTTATAATTAATTGGCCTAATTATTTAATTAACAATATGTATTACCTGAATAGTGGAGGAGCCGATTGTAGGCATAGCAAAGGGTCGACGATCGCCACCATTCTCGAGACGACTTCGATTGTCTCGATTAGAAAATTTCGACAAGCGCCGACTAAACCAAATTAGGTATTATTAGATGATTGATGTGTTTGCTCTCTTAGTTGGTGGCTTTTCGTCGAAGTCGAAGTTCATTGATCACTTTTACAAAGTTTATCGGCAAGAAATACATAAATAATGATTATTCGGGTCCCCTCATCTTTTTTTGGGCACCTAATCAGTGGCTCATGAAAATTGTCTGTCTGGCTCATTTTCAGGAATTCCCAATTTCAAACTTATCTATTTCTCTAGCATCCCAACTACTGAAATCGTTAAAAATTGTTCATTTCGTATAGTTAAAAAATTGTTTCGTCGGCGTCCGACGACTGCTGTACGCTGGTAGATTTACGGCGATGCGTCTTATTCTTGGTCTCGCACGGACTAACAGGTTATTTCAAATTTTATGGACCGGTTCGATAAGTTTTTCAATCGAATGACGTTGGAAATTCAAGGAAATTCGAAACTCATCAAGAAAAATGAAGCAGTTCATGCGAAAACAGCACAATAAGCGGTCACACGTGGCGAGACCTTTTCAAGGACGTAAATCTACAGCAGCCGACTATATATTATTTGAAGTTTTTTTAAAAATTCGAGTTTGGACCCCTTTAAGAACATTTTTGACAAGTTTCAACAACATTGTCTGAATGGCTAGACCGCTAGGAGCATTTTCGGACCCCTCATTTTAATACATGTTTAAACATTCACTGAAATTGAGAATTCCTGAAAATGAGCCAACAAAACGAATTATGGGCGCTCTCTCTTTTTTAGACAACAATAAAAAAGCCATGAAAATTGAAGATTGCTTTTTTCAGAATGATTTTCTGATCATGCTTCTCGTTAGCGAAATCTCGGTGATGGTGAATGCACTTCGCGGAACGCTCTCAGTTTGCAAGAATTTGACGAGAATCGGCCGGAATATGCTCGCGACACCCTCGCGAATCGGCTTTGTGAATATCAGCATGGCGATCGTTGAAAGCGATCCATGGAATGAGAGGAGCAGAATCAGCATTGATGCGGCGTCTGCAATATGAACCAGAAAAATAAGAATTCAAGTCTAGGTCAAATGAATTTAGAATGTGATTACGGTATCGTTTTTGGGTCTCGCATCGAAAACATCTTAGCAGCGAATTGTCTTTTATTTAATAAACATAATTACGGAATATGGGCATATTCAAGTGTAAAAAAATGAGAAGCCCGCGAAATTCAAATTTCTCAAATTCGGTCCATTTGTTTTTCTCGAAAATAATTATTATGCGGGGAATTGGCTAACTGCCAAAAGGAAACAGTTTAAAAAGAGGTCTCGATGCGCCTTTAAACTTTGGGCCCGTAAATCGACACTTTTAGTCTTGCCTCAAGACCATTGCCATTGTTTTTTTTTGGCATTTAGCCAATTTTCCGCAGTCGACGCGACGCCGAAAATATCAATAAAAAATAAATAAAATCTGAACGATGAGATTAGTTTTTTTTTAAGAAAATTGAGAACTCTGAACACATTTCAATGAATCCCTGAAATAAAAAATTCGAAATCCAAGAACCTTAAAAAAGATTCCAAAATGCTCACCATCATTGTGCAGTGTGAAAACGATGCCATAGATGAAGGCGATCAACGGGATTCCCAGCATTACCGCGTGTATCAATCCTTGAACGACGAGACTCAAAAATAGCATTCGCTGCATATTCAATGTCTTCGATGACAAATGCTGTCTCATGTCGTTGAGTCGTTTGAGAATGCCGCCGACGGTGATCAAAACAATTCCGCCGCCCGACAGAATCAATCCGATGATCATTATCAAGGTTGGTGTGAAGACCGGATCAAGGAGAGGTGGAGCGATAACTGTTGTACTGCAGAGAAGCTCAATTGGCGATTCGATGGTGCTCTGGAAAATGCGCTTATTTGGGTAGTCAAACAAAATTCAAATTAAATCGAAATTAGAATTTTTCGAGGTTGATTGAAATTGTCGATTTCAATTGAAAGAGATTCAATTGAATGGGTGTCATATTCCGCAAACGTGCTCTATTGAAATGTCTCGTTGCATAGCACCCTCACACTCTACCACACTATCTGCCTCTCTCTCTCTCACTCTACCACACTATCTGCCTCTCTGCCTTTTTGGAATGATCCCAGGGCACTTTATATTCTCGCGATTCCCTTATTTAGGTATTCTATTTGAGTTTGAAAAGAAACATACAGAATTGTTTAAGCTTAGTTTTGGTTCAAATTTGGATGTAAAAATTTATTTTGAAAATATAAAAGATCAACAAATATTCTCTCTCTCTCTCTCTCTCTCTCTCTCTCTCTCTCTCTCTCTCTCTCTTTCTTCTCTCTCTCTCTCTCTCTCTCTCTCTCTCTCTCTCTCTCTCTCTCTCTCTCTCTCTCTCTCTCTCTCTCTCTCTAGATAAGAAATTGTAAATGTTTTTCAGCCTACCATCCAAGTTAGTGGGTCTATTCGGAGAATTAGAAAAAAAACTTTTTGCGAAAGAAAAAAAATAATTTTGCAGATTTAATTTGCAGAATATATCCATCACATTGAATCTAGTTGCCTACTACTATAGGACATATTATTAATGTTATATGCACATCGAGTTTGCGGAGTTCTCTTTAAATATGACAAAAGTTTTGAAACCTCGCCTCCAGAGCGGGACCGATCCCGTTCGATCACGTTTTGTACCCGGATTTTTACGCCAACTGAGTGACGGAAAACTCAACTTTGGATCACAGTACATATAGTCCTCGGAAAATCACAGCGGACGCCGTGCGGACGGTTTTCTATAGAAAAAATTGGCGGACGTTGTAACGGACGAGCAGCAGAGTCAGAGCCGCCGATGATCAAAAATTCGAATGACGCTGCTTGGTGTCCGCTGTGATTTACCGAGGTCTCAAATTGAACACCGAGTGTCAAAAATGATTATAATTGAGTCACATTTCGCACACGTTTTGTACCCGGATTTTCACGCCGACTGATTCACCAAAGACTCAATTCTGGATCACAGCGTTTTACCAGTGCAGACTAAATCCTCCCCACTAAGCCATTGTGCCGGCGCGCACCATGAGCTCTACAAGCCGGTTATAACTTGATGTGTCACACAGCACGGCATCTGCCTTTTACAGCTTAATCACAAACGGCTGGTTAACAAGCATATCTAACAAAAATCTTGTAAGAATTTATAAGAGAAAAAAAAAATTTAAAAGTGAAAATTATAATAAAAAAAAAAAAAAAAGAAACCCCGTACATCATATAATCTCTTCTTGTAAGTATTTTGTAGTGGAATGCATCTTTTAAGTGTGCCAAGTCCCAACGAAGGCAACGCAAAAACGAGAGCATAGAAAATCCAGAATAATCGCCGCAGAATGTATTTCGTGTAGGTCTGCTCAGTAATTGCCGCGTTGAAGCGATAACGAAACATTTCCAGTATCGATGCTCCCGTATCTCAATAAGCAAATTCATTAAGCAAATGAATGGAATATTAAATTTTTTTTGGAAAAAAAAGATCGTTAAACTTTCTGGCGTGCAAATTTCCAATTTTCGCGCACCAATGCGATTCCCCGAATTCATTTTTGCGCCAAGTGCAAGCTTCTCATAAATGCGAGAATAATTCGAATCAGTATTCAAATTCTCGAAAAACTCACGGACAAAACAATAAACGAGAACATAGAATATTAGGAGTCCATTGACGTCGAAATACATGAGGATTCCGGTGATTCGAAATATTGGATATGGTAGATATGTCATCGGCAGCATGAATACTGACACGTAGACTTCGAATCCAACATTTCTGCAATGTTCGACATCATTAAATCAGTTTAAGTGAAAAAAAAAACATCGAAAATTATTTTTTTAATTAATCCCACTCTTGAATTTCAATTTGAACGTGACTTATAGTCGGAGGCCGACGGGTGTCGATTTACGGAGGTTGCGTCCTTCTCTTTGTCTCGCACTAACCGGCAATTTTGAATTTTTGATTATCGAATGACGTTTGAAATGCCAAAATGCTCAAGAACAAGTGAAGCAGTTCACGTGAAAACAGCAAAATAAGCATTTACGCGTGGCGAGACCTTTTCAAGGCGCATGCGCGTAAATCTACCCGTCTACAACTAATTTTTAGACTTGATGGTGTGACGCGTTGCGGCTCGCGTGCGGCTCATTCTCAAAACCGATTTTTTTTAATTTCAAATTCAATGGTCTCTAGTGCAGCACAAATTGAATCAGGTTACAAAGCAATAGATCATACACCGACATTTTTCCGATGCCGACGATTTTGATGAATAATTTTTGGAAAAATGAATTTTAAAAATTCAAGGAAAAAAATGGGTGTGCATACATACACACGCAAAATTGCACACAATCGCGTATTTTTAATATACTTCTATTTTTTTAAAAATTCTATTTAAAAGCAAATTTTGTTCTAGATTGTGAAAATTGAATTTAGCTGTTTCAAGCAATCATATCAGTTGAAATTCGAGAAATTTGGAAAATTTTAAAAACGCGCCAAAACTTTGGCATTTTTTTTTTCTTTGGAATGTCGAAAATTTTCAGTTTTTTCATGGCATTTCTGCCCACAAAATTCGCTGCATTTGCTTACCCCAATGTATGCCAGAGTAAATAATTTTTGTAGTCCTTTAGAGTCCTTGGTGATTTGAAGATCAGCGAAAAAATCGAAACCAAATATAAAGGGACGGTGAGAATGTGAAGGAAATGCATCAAGCTTCTGAAATCGCCCACTTTTTTTGTTGAGAAGAAAATCGTTCGCAAAAAAAATCGCTCTAAAAATCGGAATGCAGGAAAAAAATTCCAGAAATCTCGGCTGTGGCCAGGTTTTCGCTGCAAGAATCATAAAAATATTTTAATATGCGCCTTTAATCATTATAGAAAAACTATGAATAGAAAAAAGCGATTTAATAAAAAAATGCAGTGGTACTGTAGGCTTCGAAAAACCTGGCCGTGGCCGAGTTTTTTTTCTGCCATCTGCATTCCGTTTTTTTAATGAGTTCTTCAAAATTTGCAGATTCATTCGAGAAAAAAAATCAGACCTGAACGGTTCGGGTGCCTCCTGAAGGCATGTCGTAGGTGTCATGGGCTCGTGCATTTCTTTTCAGTGAGAATGCGCAATTCGATAACTGCAATTTTCATAGGAATAATCAAATTTCGACTTGAATCTGATAATCTTCCGAATTGGCGTTGTACTTGATTGAATTGTTATGTCATTTTTTTTAGTGATCGTTGAGGATTGCGACTAGTGGCGTGATCGGTGAGGACGCTTAGTAGACATTCGATGAACTTGAACACTGAGAATGTGGGAAGAAAGAGGAAATACACAAAATGCGAGCCCTTATTTGCTGGGTTGACGTATTGTTGAGAAATGACAAATATATCCAGGTGTCGTGGGATCCTGCGTTTTGTACGCAATGCGATGAGCCAGTTACCGTAATCCTCGCAGCGATTTACTATTTTCATTTTTCTTTTTTTTCGCTCAATTTTCGTATTTCCCTTCGAAATTTTGTTATTTAATCCGAGTTTAATAATTTATTTAGCAGAATAAGCACTTTTAAACGATATTTTTTTGGTAAAAACGGAAGAGAATTAAAAGAAAACATTTTTTTGTCGTTAATAAAATGAAACAATGAGCATTTTAAATAAAAATAAAATAATACCCGTCTTGTTAACTTCAGTAGTTTAAAAAGTCCTTCGGCTCCTTTTCAATATGATTGTGTTTCCTAAAATGTACTAGAAATTAGGAAACGAAAAATGATGAAGAATAAGTTTTAACGATGCCAAATTAATTAAAAAATGCCATAAAATATATGAAAATTTTAAACTATCAATCAGCGATTATAAAAATGTAAGATAAACAGCAAAAATAAAAGAAATTTACTAATAAAAAAAAAGAGATACAGAAAAATTCTCAAAAAATAACGCGCCCAAAAACACGCTGCGCAAAACACGCTGCAAAGTATATGCCACATACACTTCTCTTCGCCTCGAGAAATCTGGCAATTAGCCAATATTGTGTAAAATTTCGTCAAGTCGTTTGACGCCGACAATATATTTTTTAGAAATATTTTATTTAAGACATGTAGAAACCGAGTTTTATTATTTATTTTTCAGAATATGCACTTTTCCATTTGTCCAGTTGAGTAGGGAATTATTGTGAAGATTTTGTCTCTAAAAATTATTTTGAAATTGAGGAATACAAAAACAAGATAATTGAAGCGCGTACAAAAAGCAAAAAAACGAATAAATTATTTTATTAACGACAAAAAATGTTTTCTTTTAATTCTCTTCTGTTTTTCCCAAAAAAATATCGTTTAAAAGTGCTTATTCTGCTAAATAAATTATTAAACTCGGTTTCTGCAAAATTTAAATAACAAAATTTCGAAGGGAAATGCGAAAATTGAGCGAAAAATAAAGAAAAATGAAAATAGTAAATCGCTGCGAGGATTACGGTAACTGGCTCATCGCATTGCGTACAAAACGCAGGATCTCACGACACCTGGATATATTTGTCATTTTTCAACAATACAATTTCTAATAGGCGAGGCAGTGTTTACAATTGATAGAGCGCAGACAACGAGAGAGAGAGAGAGAGAGAGAGAGAGACAGCGTGTGTGTGTATTGTGGACGGAGACGCAGACATTTGTGCAAAATATGGAATTTTGTGGAACCTTCCGCAACAGAGCTGCATAAATATTTAAAAAACGGAACACTGAACAAAATTTTTTACGAAAAACGGAAAACGGAACACAAAGTTCATCTAACTCGAATATTTTGAAATTAACAGTGCAGAAAGTAAGGTTTTCCAAGTGCTCATTCGACAGGGACCTTCTTTTTGTCGAACGAATTTTTTTTCTTAGATTCGCTAGACGTGCTAGGTATTGGGAGATATCTCAAGCGGAACACTGAATACGGAAGTCGGAATAAATAGTTTTCAAAGGAATACGGAACACGGAACAGGAAAATGTCACGGAAAACGGAAGTCGGAATTCCGTGCAGCTCTGTTTCACAACAATTTTCAATCAAATTTATTAGAAAAAAATCATATGGGAAATAAAAAACCTGAATCGACAGCTCGAACGAGTAGTAATGAAATATGAAGAAGAATTTTTGCTCAAAAAAAATTCATATTTTTATTGTTGAAACCCAATTTTGTTTGGAAATTGCAATGATTTCTAGTTATTAGAAAATTGAATTTGCCTCGAACAAAAACTGATTTTTGTTTCATTGTGTTATTTTCGTTTTTTTTTTTACCAAGAAGATTTATTTCTAATAGAATGGTATGATCGGAAATTGAACTATGTAGAATAAGAAGCTGAAAACAAGGGGTAGGAAGCGAATTGATTCGAAAAACAATGATAGATTCGTCGCAGATTGTTGTAGCTTTGCAATCTGTGATCAAGAAAATTACTAATTGAATCAGTTCCACTTTATTAAAAAGAAATTATGAAAAAACATTTATCCATGCTTTAAGGATTTCTTTTTTCAATTTTTTCAGATGCAGTGTAGAGAAAATAAGCATCAATTTTAATAAAAATAAATACTAAATTGCTCTTAAACTACCATAGAAATCAAAATTATAAATAATAATCTTTTTGAGGTAAAAATTTTAATTATTTGAAATGGTTCAAATATGCTCAAAAATATATTTTATTAAACAAAAATGAAATGGTTGATTAAAGGCGCTGAACGCGGAAAACGAGACGGGTCTTGTGGCGATAAATTCTGCTAGGCTGTTATTCTGAAACTATTCAATCATTTTTTCAACATCAACCTTCCAGAAAAAAATGTTGCATTTTTATTAGACCCTTCAAACTTCTTTAAAAATAAAATAATTTTCTTAATTAATTTTTTGAATGAAACTTAAAAAAAAAACGAAAAAAGTTTAATAAGGATTTCACCAAGTTCTTTGCCAAAGTATTGAGATAATTGAATTTATTTATTTAAAAAAAATAGAAATTCGCACTTGAACGCCATTTCTGTTTTTTCCGGAACAAATTGATTCATTGAAATGGCAGGCTTGAAAACGCGCAAGATGTCCGCAGCACGGGACATTAGTTAGCAACGGAAAACAAGAGTATCGATCAAATGAATTTATTTAACAAGTTAAGGAATTAGCACTTGAACGCCTTCAAATCCTTCTGATACTCGTCGGCGTAGGCCTTCTCCGCTTTCGCGTCGCACAATTTGCCGACATCCGATTTACAGGCGAGACTTTGCTTGAACTCGGCGCACGCGGTTTTTGGCTGAAAATTGGAGAATGTGGGAGGTTATAAAAAGAAGGTTATGATACCTTCTCAATGAAATTGATGTTGAAGATCTTGCTGGCGCATCCCGGCGTCGGTGTGGTGGAAACTGATTCAAGCTGAAATGGGACCCATATAATTGTAATGGAATGACGTGATAGTTGATGGTACCTTCTTCATGCACTCCGAGAATGGTCCCGTGATGAAAGCGACTTTTCCGCAAAGGTAGTCCAAAATCTCGGTGGCGTCTTTCGGGAAATCCGGGCACTTCTTCTTCAGATCGCCGAAACACTCCTGAGCCTTCTTGCAGTTATCATTCAACTCCTTCCGGCCGGTCGCATCGAACTTGGCGCCGAGCATCTTTTGAATTCCGGCTACTTCATCTTGAAGCAACTGCAAATCGATGGAACGTATGCGCCTTTAAAATGGGATCTGGGATACTTTGGTGCATTGCTCGACCTTCTTCGATTCGGTCTTTAAGCATTGCGATGCGACTGCGGCAAATGAGCAGCCGACGAGCAGGGAGAGGACAACCAACGATTTGAGCATATTTCGAATTGAATGAAATTGGCAATGAAACTGGGTCAAGGTAAGGACCATGTGGTCCCGGGGGTCGGGCTTTGGCTGCTCATAGTGTAACAAGGAAGTGAAAAAGGTCCGTCGTCTGGCCCCGAAAAAAATTATCAAGGATATTCAAACTTTCAGAATCTTTGGAGAGAATCGTAATTGGGAACTGCATACTGTATCCATGTGAATCTCCTCTCTGCAATTGAGTGGAGTGTCTTCAAATTGTTTCCAATTGTCAATTTTGGGATCTCTCGATATTTGATAATTGATTTCGGGGTCAGACCTTCTCTTCTCTAGACCCATTCTCTTTATATTGCTACCATCTGCCGACAATTTACGGGAATCGCGACCAACCAAAATCTGCGGACATCTCGCGCCCTCCTCAAAAAATTGTCGGCAGATGCCAACCGTTGAATTGCAGACGATGAAGACGTGCCTCATGGTGACGTCATGCATTTGCTGCCTGTGCTGCCTCATCATCTTTCTTCCGATGATCTTCGGCGGCGCCTATTTCCTCACCGCCCTCTACACCATCATCGGCATCGCCCAAATGAATTGCACCGACAGCGAGTTGGCGATCGCCGAATCGTGCCAGCCGGTAGGTCGACGAATCAAGAGATCCACGATCAGCGTTCGCAGATCCTCTGGGAGATCGCCAACGTCACCGCGACGCTGCCGCCCGGCTTCGCGCATCCCGACGAGTACGCCGATGTGCTCGCCGCGTGCAAAGAGTTCCGCTCGTGCTACGCCGGTGTGATTTGTCTCGACAAACGCGCCGAGACCGTCTATCACGACGTCGCGTGCGACGTCTACAAATATTCGGCCGGCGATTTCAAAGAGTGCTCGACGAAGGCAAGCAATCTCTCATCATCATCGAGAGCCCCCCATCGAAATTTCAGCTGCGCGCCAATATGCTCAAAAACGACGGACCCGGATGCCTCAAGCATTTTTTAAGTGATGAGCCAAAAGATGTACATACATATTAATTACCTTATAATTAGTCAATTATAGAAATGTGTTAATTGGAACAAAAATCTGGATTGTATGTTGTTCCACGTCAACGACACTTGTGGTCCCACCATTCATCACAGCTTCCGCTATGTAAGCTTCTGACCGATTTCAAACCTTATGTGGGATTCTAGAACGCCAAGCGTCTTCATAGATCAGAATGCAATGCAAAGAGAATGCAGGAGAAGAAATTGTCAAATATGTATGGATCCTAATTAATTGATTAAGCCTATAATTATAGTATTTTGAATATCTAAATACACATGATTATCAACAGTCTCCGACAGATTTCGTTTCAGCCTCAGTCATACAGAAAAAGAAAGAAAACAATTTCTGCTGGAGGTATGGGGAATCGAACCCCAGACTTCTCGCATGCAAAGCGAGCGCTCTACCCCTGAGATATACCCCCGCACGACATCGGCTGCCCACATTGCGAATTCAAATCCATTTTCAGCGTTTCATCAACGTTGCCAACGAGTATGAAAAAAAACATACAGGTTTCTGGGTAAACCTGAAGAATACACCTGTAAAAAGAATATTATAAAAAACTGAAGCTGTGGACATCGATGCGGTTCGCTAAAGTGGACGGGGCAAGCTGGAATAGACATAGAATTGGATCAGAAGGGAAAGAGTATAAATGTGTAAAACAAAATTTTTTTTTTGTTAAGAGGTCGTAAGAAAAATCGTCCCCGTGAAATTGCATATAAAACATCTGCGGACGTTTTGCGGGATGCGCCACAGTCGGGAGTTTGGTGTTCATCAGCGGTGGCGGCAATTCAAACACAAGCCCTACGGGGGATTTTTTGACAACGCTGTTTTTATATTTTAAAAATTCTATTTCCCGAATATTCTTCGCCTAGTTTTTGGGTTTCAATCGAAGAAAGAGATTTCTGGGAATTTCCCGAATGCCACATTCGGTTGATTTCTCAACAAAAATCATGATAATTGTCAATTGAACGGAAATGGCGAGCCCCTAAATTATAGGCGATAGAAAAAAAAAATGAATGTGCCACAAATTGTCAAATTCAACAAAACAAATTTTAGTACCTTAAAATTGGATTTTATAATTGGCTCATATGATCGCCTTCAGTATGAGATTGGTCATTCCAAAATTCTGTCTATTTTACTAATAACACTAATCAAGGGTTTGGGTCTTGAAGGGAAGTAGGTGGCGCAGAATAACATGCCAATTATCTAGAAGCTTTAATCATTCATTCATGCTTTTCGAGAAGCCCGATGAGTATCCCACGTTCGAATACATTTCATCGATCCTATCCTTCATTCTTTTCATCCCTTATTCGTCATTATTCAGCAATTCACAAAATAATGATGAGGAGGTCTTAATTAATCGATTTGATTTCTCAAATTAGACGAAAAAAATGTTCAGCGATTGGCGATCCCAATTTATCGAATGTTCTTCCTTATACACATGCCAATTGTGCTTTTGAATAATCTCGCATTGGTGTCAAAGCATGGTGTATTGCTTGTTTTTGGGCGATGGCCGGAATCGGCGAGAAGCGTTTTCCGGTAGGTATGCGCCTTTAAGGTCTTGCCACTACTGAAAAAAATGGCAACGAGTTCAAAGACGGATTCATTTGAAGATTATCGATACTGAGCTGCTGGTGGGTCGACAAGCTTCTCGACACCCATGTGATATCGGTTGGGCTTCTTCTTCTATCGATTCAGCGATATGTGGTGAACAATTGCAACGAGAAATATTCGAAATTCGTCAGCGGGTTCCTCAAAATCCCATGATTCCGAATTATTCTCGAAAATTTCCAGATATTTTCTAGGACTCCTTCTTCTTCTCAACGTAACTTCTGGCTTCTATTATGAATTCCGAAGATCAGATGCTGTCGAAACCCGTATAAACACATACATTCTTGTGAGTTTCTCTTAATTTTACCACCAAAAAAAATTGCACAAATATAGGCCTACGAAAGGACCGACAGCTATCCGAAGACGATTCTTGTGAAGCCAAAATTGAAGATATTATCAATGGTAGAAATGCTCGTCGATTAATGCGCATTGTCCGCAATGCGCCAAATGACAAACATGTCGTGGGATTCTGCGTTTTGTACGCAATGCGATGAGCCAGCTACCGTAATCCTCGCAATTTCCGCTCAATTTTCGTATTTTCTTTCGAAATTGTTTTTTTTAATGGATAGAACCCGAATTTAATTATTTATTTTGCAGAAACTGCACTTTAAAGAATATTTCTTCTAAAAATAATTTTGAAATGAAAAATACAAAAACGAGATTAAGAACGCAATAAATAATTTTATTAAAGACAAACAAAAAATTTTTTAATCTATGATGTTTTTAAAAAAAAAAATATCGTTCAAAAGTGCATATACTGCAAAATTAATAATTAAAATCGGGTTCTATAGATTTTAAATAAAAAAATTTCGAAAAAATAGGAAATTTGAGCGAAAAAAAATGAAAATAGAAAATTTAAAAAAGTGCCCCGTAAATCGCTCATCGCATTACGTATAAAACGCAGAATCCCACGACATTTGCATACTTTTGTCAATTCTCTGAAAAAATGGAAAATTTTTTAGCTAACTGAATTTGTGCAATTTTTCGGCGCCTTCCTCGCGATTCTCATCAATGTCGTATTATTCAAAAAATTGAGAAAATTCGAGTTGGTCTCGTCGCGAAAAAAGCGAGTCGAATTGAATATTCTCATGCGAAATGCGCCAATTTTTCTATCGATTTTGGTAGATCATTGCTTATTTTGTTGTCGAAAATTCTCCGAAAATTTTTCAGATCAAATTTGGATTCGTCGCAATGTGGCATTATGTGAGAATAACCGAAATCGATATTAGCGTGATTGCGATGAAGTCGATTCTTTGGGGAATCAATACGGACGTCGCATTCACACTGGGTGTCCCATTGGGTTACATATTTGGGAATCTGATTCGATTGATCCAAATTTGGAAGTTTCTTACGTGCCAGAATCGGAACAAAATCTCCTCTCCATATTATTTTTAATACAATTATTTATTTTCGTCGTCAAAATTTTTTCGACATTTCAAAAATTCGATTTTGTCGTCAAATAAAATGCATCGCCCGTATTTTTTGTCTTCAATTGAATATTTTTGTAGAAGGTATGATTCATCAAATCATGATTTCGGCCATGTAGGCAACCGAATAATTCAATTCCGGTTTTTCATCAAAATGGCAAAAGTCAGATGGTCAAGGGGGTGCCGATGGGAAGGTCTCGAGGACGAAACCTCGAGACCAGGTCTGAACCGACTCCGAAGAGACCGAATCAGAGAACATGATAACCCACCGACGCCGGACCAATCGCGCATTGGCTTCGGAAATGCACCGCGTTTATATACCCCCTATCGGCAGTGCTGCGGACATTGTCGGGGATTCGCCGGTCTCCATCGGCCTCACACGGAATTTCGCAATCATTTTTGGCTGCTTCCAACCAACAGCATGCGCGTCTGGCGCTCTCCTCATCACGCGTACTCTCTTCCTCTTGCTATATATCAGGGCTGAAATTTACTGAAACAATTCGGCAAATTGCCGAAAATCAAAATTTCGGCTATTACATTATTTCCACGATAATTCGAAATAAAAATACCGAATTTTCACGGTATCCCAAATTATTCAATGGACATTGATTTTGGTTTCGCCGATTTTTTTTTGATATCAAATTGCCGAAAATATAAATTTCGGCGGCAATTCGGCAAATTGCCGATCGAACGCTCTCTTCGGCAATTTCGGCAATCGACAATTCCATTGCCGCACAGCCCTGCTATATATGATCAGAACGAATTGCATATAGGATGCTCGTGTTCATCTGAAAAAAAAAACATATATAAAGGGGTACACGCAAATTCGTGAATATTGAAGATTTCTACGGCTGTCGTTTTTCAGTTTTTCTAATTTTTCACACAAATACACCAGACGCGTGCTGTTGGTTGGAAGCAGCCAAAATCGATTGCGAAATTCCGTGTGAGGCCGATGGAGACCGGCGAATCCCCGACAATGTCCGCAGCACTGCCGATAGGGGGTATATAAACGCGGTGCGTTTCCGAAGCCAATGTGCGATTGGTCCGGCGTCGGTGGGTTATCATGTTCTCAGATTCGGTCTCTTCGGAGTCGGTTCAGACCTGGTCTCGAGGTTTCGTCCTCGGAATCAGATCCGATGCAAGGCTTCGGTCTTGTATCATCTTCCCATCGGCACCCCCTTGACCATCTGACTTTTGCCATTTTGATGAAAAACCGGAATTGAATTATTTGGTTATTGAAAGAAAAAATTATAAATGCACCAAAGTCAATTTCTTAAATCGATTTATTTGAGAAGCTCGAGACAATTCAGCTCAATTGATGGTTCCTCTGTCGAAAATTGCTTTAAAAAAGTAATTAGTGACGTCCTTCTGAAGCGAGTGAGACCATCGACAGATGGTCGACCACGTATTTTCTTATTCACAGAACTCGTTTGGGATGTGATAACCTTCCAACTTATATGATTGTAACATGGAGTCCCTTAACTATATACATATTGAATATCTGATTTAGACATTTACTCCATTCGAAGGCTTCCCGAAAGGCTATATTACAAAAAGATTAAAGATTATGGCTATGGTAGGTGAATCTCGGAACATATTCTGCAAATTGTCGTCAATTAGAGCGCATTGCACATTTTTTAAAGAAAAGTCCATAGTGAGTAAAGAGACCAAATAAAATTATGGTACTCGTCGGCCATTGCGTACAATGCGCTATATTTGACGCCAATTAGATAATTTTTTATAGATAACCGTTTATCTGCAATTCGTCAGCGCTTTCCTCGCGATTCTCATCAATGTCGTATTATTCAAAAAATTGAGAAAATTCGAGTTGGTCTCGTCGCGAAAAAGCGAGTCGAATTGAATATTCTCATGCGAAATGCGCCAATTTTTCTATCGATTTTGGTAGATCATTGCTTATTTTGTTGTCGAAAATTCTCCGAAAATTTTTCAGATCAAATTTGGATTCGTCGCAATGTGGCATTATGTGAGAATAACCGAAATCGATATTAGCGTGATTGCGATGAAGTCGATTCTTTGGGGAATCAATACGGACGTCGCATTCACACTGGGTGTCCCATTGGGTTACATATTTGGGAATCTGATTCGATTGATCCAAATTTGGAAGTTTCTTACGTGCCAGAATCGGAACAAAATCTCCTCTCCATATTATTTTTAATACAATTATTTATTTTCGTCGTCAAAATTTTTTCGACATTTCAAAAATTCGATTTTGTCGTCAAATAAAATGCATCGCCCGTATTTTTTGTCTTCAATTGAATATTTTTGTAGAAGGTATGATTCATCAAATCATGATTTCGGCCATGTAGGCAACCGAATAATTCAATTCCGGTTTTTCATCAAAATGGCAAAAGTCAGATGGTCAAGGGGGTGCCGATGGGAAGGTCTCGAGGACGAAACCTCGAGACCAGGTCTGAACCGACTCCGAAGAGACCGAATCAGAGAACATGATAACCCACCGACGCCGGACCAATCGCACATTGGCTTCGGAAACGCACCGCGTTTATATACCCCCTATCGGCAGTGCTGCGGACATTGTCGGGGATTCGCCGGTCTCCATCGGCCTCACACGGAATTTCGCAATCGATTTTGGCTGCTTCCAACCAACAGCACGCGTCTGGTGTATTTGTGTGAAAAATTAGAAAAACTGAAAAACGACAGCCGTAGAAATCTTCAATATTCACGAATTTGCGTGTACCCCTTTATATATGTTTTTTTTTCAGATGAACACGAGCATCCTATATGCAATTCGTTCTGATCATATATAGCAGGGCTGTGCGGCAATGGAATTGTCGATTGCCGAAATTGCCGAAGAGAGCGTTCGATCGGCAATTTGCCGAATTGCCGCCGAAATTTATATTTTCGGCAATTTGATATCAAAAAAAATCGGCGAAACCAAAATCAATGTCCATTGAATAATTTGGGATACCGTGAAAATTCGGTATTTTTATTTCGAATTATCGTGGAAATAATGTAATAGCCGAAATTTTGATTTTCGGCAATTTGCCGAATTGTTTCAGTAAATTTCAGCCCTGATATATAGCAAGAGGAAGAGAGTACGCGTGATGAGGAGAGCGCCAGACGCGCATGCTGTTGGTTGGAAGCAGCCAAAAATGATTGCGAAATTCCGTGTGAGGCCGATGGAGACCGGCGAATCCCCGACAATGTCCGCAGCACTGCCGATAGGGGGTATATAAACGCGGTGCGTTTCCGAAGCCAATGCGCGATTGGTCCGGCGTCGGTGGGTTATCATGTTCTCTGATTCGGTCTCTTCGGAGTCGGTTCAGACCTGGTCTCGAGGTTTCGTCCGCGAGACCTTCCCATCGGCACCCCCTTGACCATCTGACTTTTGCCATTTTGATGAAAAACCGGAATTGAATTATTCGGTTGCCTACATGGCCGAAATCATGATTTGATGAATCATACCTTCTACAAAAATATTCAATTGAAGACAAAAAATACGGGCGATGCATTTTATTTGACGACAAAATCGAATTTTTGAAATGTCGAAAAAATTTTGACGACGAAAATAAATAATTGTATTAAAAATAATATGGAGAGGAGATTTTGTTCCGATTCTGGCACGTAAGAAACTTCCAAATTTGGATCAATCGAATCAGATTCCCAAATATGTAACCCAATGGGACACCCAGTGTGAATGCGACGTCCGTATTGATTCCCCAAAGAATCGACTTCATCGCAATCACGCTAATATCGATTTCGGTTATTCTCACATAATGCCACATTGCGACGAATCCAAATTTGATCTGAAAAATTTTCGGAGAATTTTCGACAACAAAATAAGCAATGATCTACCAAAATCGATAGAAAAATTGGCGCATTTCGCATGAGAATATTCAATTCGACTCGCTTTTTCGCGACGAGACCAACTCGAATTTTCTCAATTTTTTGAATAATACGACATTGATGAGAATCGCGAGGAAAGCGCTGACGAATTGCAGATAAACGGTTATCTAT